TGGTGCAGCTTCAGTTTGCGCAACAAGAGGACGTTCGAGCCGCTTTGCTCTAGTACCGCTATGGCGCGTGTGACGTCCGAAGTCGACGCCAGTTCCACAGCGTGACCCTTGAGAAGACGTTTAGTGAGCCACGAATATCAGAAGAAAGTGTATGAAGGACGCGTACCATTCCGTCCGTTGGTAAGCGACCGATGTAGCGCGTCCTAGCCTCGCCGTACTCCGCAATAACGTCTTGTATAGCTAGGTCGAAGTCTACATCGGGCGCCTCTTTATCCGCGTGAGCTCGCGCCAGTGCATCCTGAAGAGGATCCAAGAGCGAGGGCGCAACATCCGACACGGTTGTGCTGGCGCGACGTAAAGGTGCAGCCTTTCCAGTCGCAGTCTTGCGACGCTTGTTGCGTACGGACTGTCGCTACGAAGTGAATGAGCCAATGCATCAAATCAACTTAACGAGTCTACGCACTGTCGGCCTGCCGTATTCAAAGTCTTCACCGTCGGAGAATGAAGCATCGCTCATGGTGACGATGTCGAGCAGATATGTCTTTCATCACGGGAGCATACGAGACGCACTACTCGCGTAGCGAGGCTGAGGTCAAGCAAGAGACCGACGGTGGCTGCAAAAGCTAGCCGCGGCGTCGAGTTTGACGCGCATTCCGGGACTCGGTCCGGGCTGAGCCGGGCTGCCGAACACCGCGACGTGCCACACCCGGCGGATCGTACCGTACGAGTACTGATCCCTCGCTCTTCCAGCCCGCGATGCTACCATCGGTAAAGCAGCTAGCCTTCACTTGCAGGGCTACCCGGGAGCAAGCCCGACCCGAGAATTGAGCCCCGGTATCTCACGTGCCCGCGTCGCCCACCACGCCGTGCCCATGCCCTCCGGCCGTCTCACCATCGAACCACCATCTCCCTCCTCACCCACCTCCCAATGAACGTCCCAGGCCCCAGCTCTCACTCGCACTCGCATCGCCGTGGGACGTCGACCCGCGCACGCGAGAACCAGAACGCGCTCCCTCGCACGTTCCTCCGCGCCCGCGGCGGCCTGGGCGATCCTCCCACGACTACCTCGGCTGAGGACGACGTCTTTCCACGGCGCGAGCGGAAGAAGCGCTCGCGTGGGGTTTGGAGTGGTACGCCTACGCCTGGTCAGGCCGGGCCGAGCGGGCACGCGAATATCAATGCGAATACGGATATCGATATTGGGAAACCGCTGCCGCGTCCGCCGTCGAAGCTTAGGCAGGCTACGCGCGCAGAGTCGAGCTCGCAGGCACCGTTCTTGAATGTACGGCCTGCCAAGGCTACGAGCAAAGGACATAAACAGCGCGCCGCGGCGTTGCCGGCTGTGACCTTCGTGGCGGAGACGGACGAGGAGGGATATGATTCCCAGAGCACGCTTGGGAGAGGAAGTGCGGCGAGTAGCGAGTTGTCGAAGTTGCAGGCGCAGATATTGGAGTTGAAGAAGGTGTGTATTGGATATCATCGCCATTCTATGTCCTTTCATGGGCGAGATGCGCGTGCACGCCTCGTGATATGCGCTTCAACTGGCCTTGTCCTATGTTCTCGGTCTGATGTATCAGGTTACTGACATCCTTTCTACAGCAACTCAAGGATAAGGAGAAGCAGGCAGATGATCACTTGAAGGTGCGTTTTCTAGATCTATAGCCTCAGAACGCGTCTGACCTTGCTGTAGCACGCGACCAAGTACAAGCGCGAAGTTCAGAACTTGCATAAGGTCAGCGACTGCTTTCATCCAGTAGTATCCGTCGGCTAACACTGTAAACAGTCCTCAAAGGAACAACGCGCCGAACTGGACAAGCTACGCGATCAACACCAGCGCAACAGCCAGGTCAGCTCCAAACTCTCCACTGCATATATGATACTAATACTCTCGATCCCAGATCGTCTCCGACGTCGAACAATCCCTCCAATGCCAAATCTGCATCGACACCCTCTCCCGCCCCTACGCCCTCTCCCCCTGCGGGCACGTCCTCTGCCTCGCCTGCCTCCAAGACTGGTTCCGCCACGCCCCGCTCTCCGCCGCAGACATGGACACCTCCGACGACGAGATGCCCTCCCTCGTCCACCGCACCAAATCCTGTCCTGTGTGCCGCGCGAAGGTGAAGGAACGGCCGCTGCAGCTGTACATGCTCAAGGCGGTGATTGCGGCTGTGGATGGGGCAAGGGAGAAGAGGGAGAGTCCGCCGCTGGATCTGGGGGACGATCCGTGGGAGGGGATATTCCCCTCTCTCATCGGGGTGGAGGACGAGGATCTTGAAGATCTCGAAGACCTTACCACAAGCGAGGAGGAAGAGGAAGACGATGAGGAAGGGAGTAGTATGGACGACGAGGCATCAGACGAAGATGGGGGGTTATTGGACGTCTACGATAACTCCTCCGACGACGACTACGAGGGCGACTGGGTCCGCCCAACCTGGGCGCCCCCGCACATCACGCACCCCGCGCGCCTGCACCCCGAGCCCTTCTTCGACGCTCTACTCCGGCGCGGCGCCACGCTACCCATGATCGAACGGTTCGACATGGACTACACGCACGCGGACGGGCTGAGCGTGCAGAACGGGGACATGCGCGTGTATCTGGGGTGGAATGTGTGGTTGGACGAGGAGGATGGCGATGGGGGGAGGCTTGTGGAGTGGTTGGAGGAGGATATGGATGCGCGGCCGGAGCGGTGGGTGTTTGAGAGTGGGGGGAGGGTCGCGGTGAGGCTTGTGAGGGGCGATGGGGAGAGGTATCAGGAGGCGGATTCGGAGGATTGGATTGATGAGGAGTCTGAGGAGGAGGGGGCTGGCCATGATGAGGATGAGGAAGAGGATGAAGATGATGAAGATGAGGAGATGAATTGATGTGCGAGTCTGCGATGTTGTGTGTGCGGTAGATTGGGCTGATGTATCACATAGATCGCTTTGGATAGATTATGGGCCTTTGCGCGGACCCTCACTGCTCTTGCTTCATGTGTACATTATGCAACGCGGGCCGTTTGTATCATTAGACTGGAGCATGCTCATCCATTTACATCAGAGACCTCATGAAGCACGGGCCGTAGTCGCCGACGCCGCTCTCTACTCACTGATCCACAGGATAGCCTGTCCATTACTAGTGTACGTCGCGGGTGTGGCCGTCCTGCACAGGTGCGCCGCAGGTGCGTTGAGAGGAGGCAAGGGGTACTGCATCCTGGAACTGAGCGCCCTCAAGTCGTGTATACGACCACTCAAGGGCCGAATGGCACGAACGAGACGCCGGAGACGCGCCTGCTCCAGCGTAGAGGCCACGCACGCCACCATCCAGAGCTGCCCGCCGCACTCGCGGGGATATCCCGCCTCACCCGTGTTGGCGGTCAGCCTCTTGCCACCCGTGGAGACACCCGTGACGTGCACTACCCATTACGCTGCGGCATGTATCGACATGAGGTATCCAACTGGATACTCTTCTTTCGCCACAGAGATCTGATGACGAAGGGACGATCCTGAGTCACGGTCTGAAGCGGACAAAGGCTCTTTCTCTTTCAAATCATACCAGGCTACCTTGAATGGTCTTTCGACCTCAAAGCCCCTCAGTGCCTTCATATCTCTCGCATCGTAATCCCCTCATGCCCGCCTCTCCCATCGTTCTTCAACAGCACCGAAGTCACCAACACTCGGACGCCCGGCGCGTTTCGGAATCCACATCCATTGTTCTCTCCAAGTCTGCTTCAGGTGTGGTCTTGTGGTTGCCCCGCGGCCATCCCGCTGCCTCGTGTGCCATTCAACTGAACCACTTTGTCCAGGATCGACTCTATATAAGCCCGGTCGCTTAACGCTCTTTCCTTGAACCTTCAGTTCGACCCCCTTCAACTTCGCATCCGCATTCGCATTTAGACTCACCAGCCTCGCCTTGTACACGCCGCACCGGCAACACTCTTTGATCCTTTCAGTCGACGCATCGATCCCGACACCGTTTATCTATCTATCAACTTCGAAACACATTCTCCCGGGCGAACATGTTCATTCCTCTGACTGCTATACCGTCGGCGACGGTGCCCGCCGCCATTACTTCGTCTTCCGCCGCTACTACCGACCCTATCGCCACCATTACCATTGCTGCCACCACCAATAGCCTTTTCGCCCGCGCACCCACCGAGCCACAGCCACTCTCAGCCGGCTCCATCGTCGGGATCGTCATCGGCGCCGTCCTCCTCCTCACCCTCATCGTCACCCTCTCCATCTTCGCACACCGCCACCTCGTCCGTCTCCGCGCCCTCAAAGCCGAACAGCGCCGCCGCGCAGAAGAAGCGGCCGCGCGCCAGGCGGCGATCGACGAGGAGATACGCAAGCAGCGGGTAAGGGAGGAGGTGTTCAGGAACGCGAAGATTATACAGGCTGATGCGGCAAGGAGGCGGGAGGAGGGGAAGTGGGATCGGTTGAAGGCACGGAAGGAGAGGGAGAGGAGGATGAGGGAGATTGAGGAGAGGGTCGAGAGGGTTAAGAGGGAGAGGGAGGGCGGGGTTGTTGTGCCCGAGGCGGCGCAGGTTGCTGGGGATGCCATGAAGGAGAGGGAGGTGTATCGGCCTGTTGTTACTCAGTCGAACCCGTACAGCCACGGCTCCGCTTAGCTCTCTCCTCGCCCAGAATCCACCCTTCCTTTCGGCTTTGAGTCCCTTTGACGTATGTCTGTCTAAGCATTCGAGCGTTGACCGCATGTTGACACCGCGCCAGGCCGCTCAGTTCTCTTTCGCCGCGCGCACACGGGCCGCGACGTTATTTATGTTCCAGGAACCCGTTAGAGACGTATTAGTGTATCATACATCCAATGCCATGTACCAATCGTTCTCCGAACCGTTCAATCGACTCCAGCCTTCAAAGTCTGCCACCCAACCATATCCTACGCCGGAACGGGTGGCACGTCAACATTATTAAGATACCAAGCCCGATCTCCGTCCTCCGTCTTCTCCGCAAGCGTAAGTCCGTCGCCGAGCCAATAGAACCTGTTGCGTGTGCGGTCTTCGGGCAGCTGAGCGAAGTCGAAGTCTTCCCAGCGCGGATTCGAGAGGACGCGGGCGAGGTGGAGGCAGCTGCCTGGCCACAGCCCTGTGATGGTTCCGTCGCGCGCGCCTTTGTACCAGCTGCTGCAGTCCTCGACGTAGACCGTCTGAGCAGAGGACGTGAGCACGGTCATCAGGAGTCTGCTGGGAGATAACACACCTTCTTGAAGTACGCCTGAGCATACTCATTGAAATCGCGCACAGCCTCCGGCTTAACCTCCACACTCCTTAACCTCTCCCTCTGCATCTTCGCCACAGCCGCAACCGCATACTCAACCTGTTTCTCAATAACAACCGTAAAGCTCCCCGAGTTCAACGCCGAGTTCGGGCCGAAGGCGATCCAGAGGTTCGGGAAGCCATCGACGCAGACGGTCATGTACGCTTCGGCGTGGTTGTACCACCGTTCGGTGAGCTTGAGGTTGTTGCGGCCGGTGATGGGGAAGGGGTAGAGGAAGGATGTGTCGAAGCCTGTTGCGCATACGAGGACGTCGAGGGGGATGTGGCGGCCGTCTTTGAGCTCGACGCCGGTTGGTGTGACGCGTGAGATGTGGGTATCTTCGAGGTGGCACTGAGCGATACATCGTTAGCGGGATGATGCGAGGCAACGTCGGACTACGCACGTTGTCCTCGCACAGGGCTTCCAAATAGCCGGGTCCTGGGGTCAAACGCCGACAGCCGACGGAGAACTTGGGGATGACTAAGCGAACAGGTCAATAAGCGCCAGAACAAGGCGACAACGGTAAGCGCTCACGCTTCTTGATCAGCTCGGGCTTCCGCGCGAGTCGCTTCTCCATGTCAATACGGAAAGCCTCGGAGACCTCTTTGAGTATCGGAGAGTCCTTGTATGCAAGCGCAGCTACAGACTGTTCTTGATATGAGCAGGGAACGGGTCGAGACGTGGAGGTGGACTGACGTTAGTGGAGGCTTCGACATCGTGCCAGAACGGCTTGTAGACATCGGGGTTCTTGAGTTTCTCCTTGAACTCAGGATCAAACACGTCTATTGATGATCGCATTCATGAGAACACGCTTCGTCCCTTGAGGTGGAAGGACGTACAGTCTGTGCTATCGGGTGCCCTGCCCGTGAGCTCTTGTAATCTCCGGATTGAGAAGGATGCGGCGAGCCAGGTGTTATTGCGGATGAAGTTGGTGAGGGACTTGACTCCAGGCTGGAGTGCTGTAACGACCTGGATACCAGTAGAGCCCTGCAGCGAGCGTCAGTCCGGAGCATCGACGAATCACGGGCACGCGTACATTGCCGATAACGCCGACGTCCTTCTCCTTCCACCCTTGCACGCTGTCCTGCCACGTCGAGCCCGGAAGATCCCACCTGGCACTATGCACCAGAGTACCGCCGAACGTATCCAATCCAGGTATATCTGGCCAGCGGTAGCGGCTGAGTGCTCCTGTCCCGAGAAAGAGGACGTCGGCTGTGTCCTCGAAGTCGCTGCAGTCGGGACCGCGACGGATCTTGAGGTGCCATTTCGCGGTTTCCTCGTCCCAGCGTGCGGCGATTAGTTCGTGGCGCAGACGGATGTGTTGCATGAGCTTGTACTTCTCCACGACGCGGTCAATGTAGGCGAGAATCTCGGGGCCTGGTGCATAGAACGCGGACCATTGTGTCTGTAAGGGACGTGATTAGGAGACGGACACGAGACATCGTCAAACAACATACGTTGGGTTCGAAGGAGAGCTGATACGAATGGCTGGGAATGTCGCAGTGTAATCCCTATCGAGCCGTGAGTATCCAGTGGCACCCAGTGCACACGAAGTATGATAGCTTACCGGATACCGGTTCACATACCACGTCCCGCCCACGCCGTTCTCTTTCTCATAGATAGTCAGATCGACGTTTGGAATGCGTTGCCTAAAACGTATCCCGGCCACGATGCCCGCGTACCCCGCGCCGATGCAGACGACCTGTGGCCCAAGTCAACAATCTCCATAGCGTATAGATGAAAGCAGTACTACCTTGATGGGACGATTCTCGTCCAAACTGAAGTTGCCCAACTTGAAGTCAGGATCGGGGGTATCTGGTCCTGCATGGCCGTTTGCGTAGCCGTTCGAATGGCCGTTAGTGTGCCCGTTCATATTGAGGGCAGTTCAGTGTCGAGAGGGAAGCAGTGACCAATACTGGGGTCATCGGGTAGTACGTGCTTATATGAGACTGGCGTCCAAGGCTTATCTGTATATCCGGTAGAAAGCAAGTCGACAAATGGCATTGGCGTCAAGCTCGTCCGGGACCGGCGTACCACAGCTTCTCGTAGGGGTAAACTATTCTCAGGAATAGAGACATGGCATTGAGTGGCCGTTCCAGATGCTCCGTAGGCCGCTCACGTAGGTGGAGTCGCGGGATCTTACTGCTTAGAACGGATGGTACTGCGCGCGACCTTCGCTTCAAACGTCAAGAGACAGGACTACTGCCCGCCGGGATGAATGGTTTATGCGCTTCTGCTTATGGACCATGGGACTGCTGACTTCGCTGAAGGTTACCGAGGGCGTTCAGTGCTCGAATAGGACACCATGTGGGAAGATGACTTTGATAGCAGAAAATCAAGAAGCGCCTCGGAGGCTCGGAAGGGCAAACAAGTACGGCGCCAAGCACGTCAGGAGAGGCAAACATATCCAGCCATATCTGTCAGTGCTCCGGTAGAGGTTTATTCAGCGGTGCATATTGAGAGCACTGTCTTCCCGAAGTGTGAGCCTGGGTTTGGTCTGAGCAGTCTCTCGCAGGAGTGGGGGGAGAGCGCAACGGTTGCCCGGCCGCGTCGGATGTGGCGACGCGGCGGTCGCCGCTCTCGTCCCCACGCTCCATTACGCGCGTGTACGCGCGCTCTCGTGCCTTCACCATTCACCACCATCAGACCCTTCAACCTTCGCGCTACGCCTGTCGGGAAATAGGATATACACTTTGCCCGTGAAACGCGTAGTTGTCCGAGTTTGGACGTGGAGGCTATACAAATCATGGATAAAGATAACAAGGAGGACTTTACCTTCGGCCGTTCTTGCGAGCTTAAGGCTCCCGTTACCTTCAGGATGTAGGTCATCTCCGCCTTCATCACACTCTTGGAAGCAAACGTCTTAAGCTAGATCTCAGCTCGAAGGTACAAGACACCCAAAGTCTTTCACCGAGATCGTCGAGAAGCCAGAGCTGCGCTTTCATGGGTTGCAGTCTCCGTATGTTTAGCCACATCTTCCGCGTTGTCCTTCTCTGATCTTTCATCTGCTCAGCAATTTATCCGACCTATACGTAACATGTCAACTGGTGGCTGACAATAAACCACTTACGATACCGTTCCGAACATCGTTCAAGGCTTTCAAGAATGGCTACACGTATGTTCGAACGCTTCCTAGTATGAACGCCTGGTGTATTAACGCATCATTAGATGGAACGAATGGATCACGTTTCCTATACGCTATTGCGATCTACCTCTGAGCTCGCAAGTCACATTCACGGTCTGGGATATCGCTGGTCCGCGGACAGCTGTTCCAGTAGGCGGTTCCACATTCCGTCTCTTCGGCAAGAAGTGGTAAGTCTCGCTCTACGTACACCTAGGAAATCTCATTTACGCATGCTAGGACGCTCCGACGCGGAAAGCATCGACTCTTGCTATGGCCCGACCGCGAGGCGGATGGATCCAACGAGACGGAGACGCCTAGCAAGTCAGGAAGTCAAGACGAGATGGGTCGGTTGGAGAAGATGGTCAAGAAACACGAGCGCGGAGATCTGCCGCGGTCAGAATGGCTTGACAAGCTTACCTTCCGTAAGATGTCCGAGATCCACGCCGCGGAGACCGAGAAGTCGAATAACCTCTATCTCTACATCGACCTCCCGCGGTTCGACTTCCCGGTTATATTCAGTGAACCTGTGAGTGCATTATGCGTGCTGGCTATATGCCTCCACTAAATATCACCAGCAAGAGCCCATTGCATCAACGTCTGCGGCACCACCCGCTCTCGCCGCGCCACCCGCCCCAGGACAAGCACTCTCAACATCACTGACGACGGACCCATATCTGTGGAACATACTCGACCCTGATGCCCCTCGAGACAATCCTGTAGAAGACAAGCATCGTCGATTGGTTCGAAGTCACCGGAGCAGTCCTTATGACCGTGATCTCAAGCCTAATATCAAGATTCGTGATGAGCTTGCTGTTCGTTCTTCGTTGCGTTCATTGTCATATCACTCGCTAACTTCGCATCATAGACTATATTGAGCTATCCGCCAACGCAATCCTTGACTTCGGAGGAGAAAGATCTTATATGGAAGTTTAGGTTCTACCTTGTGCGCGAGAGGCGTGCACTCACCAAGTTTCTCAAGTCCGTTACTTGGCGAGATCCTACCGAGGTGCGGCAAGCTGTCGAAGACCTACTGCCGATGTGGTCGGAGATCGACATGGACGACGCACTGGAGCTATTAGGACCAGCCACGCAAGATGCACGTGTACGTGCTTTCGCCGTGCGACAATTAGCGCGAGCGGACGACGACGAACTTCAACTATATCTCTTGCAATTGGTGCAGGCGCTGAAGTTCGAGCCCGCTGCAAGCGAGACTCGCTCTGCGCGGAGTAGTGCGAACGCGCTAAGTTACGAGGACAGCGGTCTTGCTGACTTTCTGGTGGCACGTGCTGTTCAGAACTTCATTCTTGGCAATAGCCTCTACTGGTACCTCGTGGTCGAGCTCGCGTTGCAAAAAGACGACCGTGCCATCAATAAGATGTACTACAAGGTTATGTTCAAGTTCCAGGAGCAGCTAGAACTCGTGCGTACACGTCATTCGAGCTGTACTATATATATACTCAACCAGACGTCAGAGCACGGACGAGAGCGTGAAGCAACGGCGCGATGTCATGAAGCGTCAGGGTGAACTCGTCGCCCTGCTTGCGAAGCGCGCACATGAGCTCAGGCTTAGCAAAGACCCGCGACAGAAGAAGATCGAGAAGTTGCGCGCCTTCCTCGCCGATCCAAAGACCGGCCTGGTAGGCATGGCCCCTCTACCTTTACCGCTCAACGCGACCGCCGTCATCAATGGGATAGTGGTCGAGGGCAGCTCTGTCTTTAGCTCGAACATGTACCCTTTGCTCCTACGATTCACCACCGCCGATGGTGGCGAATTCCCTGTCATCTTCAAGGACGGCGACGACCTGCGCCAGGACCAGCTCGTTATTCAACTATTCACGCTTATGCATCGTCTCATGCGGCGCGAGAATCTGGACCTTCGTCTCATCCCGTACAACGTTCTTGCGACTGGGCCGACACAGGGAATGGTGCAGTTCATTCCAAGCAAGGCAATACGGGTGATCGTAGAGGAGCACGGGACGCTGCTCAACTACTTCCGGGCACACGCTCCGGACGAAGGGAGCGTGGGTACATATGGCATAGAGGCCGGCGTTATCGATACATTTGTGCGCAGCTGCGCGGGATACTGCGTTGTTACCTACCTGCTCGGTGTCGGCGACAGGCATCTTGATAATCTACTGGTCGCTCCGGACGGTACGCACGATCTCGTCTTCCCTGCGTTCGCTTGCTGACCCTTCCTTGAACAAGGCCATTTCTTCCACGTCGACTTCGGCTATATTCTAGGGAAGGACCCGAAACCGTTCCCACCGGAAGTGAAGGTCTGCCAGGAGATGGTTGATGGCATGGGCGGCGCGGCGAGTCCGCACTATGTGCGCTTCAAGTCATACTGCTTCACAGGCTTCTCGATCCTGCGCAAGAGCGCCAACCTGCTCTTAAACTTGCTCAGCCTGATGGCCGACGCGCGCATCCAGGATATTGCAGACCGCAACGTTTGCGAGATTCTCATGGAGAAATTTATGCTCAGCGTGAGCGAGGAGGACGCCATGGGCCACTTCGAGCGTCTACTGGAGGAAGAGTCCTACTTCGTGAAGGTCGTGGACCGTATTCATGATTGGAAACAGAGATACTGGACGGCCTGAAACCTTTCGCGTACTATTTCGGAATCTCTATTCGTCGCTCGTAGATTGAATATGATGCATGCATACCTTCAGTCAACATACTTGAATTTCCCTCTCCAGGGATCGTGGTAATTAAGCGGGTCTTGCCGAACCGAGGATGATCCCTGCGGGCCAAGGGCTCTCTTCTCCGGCTGCCACCACCCGTATGTGCGCTTGACTCCCCATCTGCTTGTCCTGAACTTCAACATAAAGTCGTACGCGCTGCGCGACATGATCGACACTGTCGAGATAGGCTAGACCTTGGAGCATCGGTCAGGAGACTGTAGGCTGCCACGAGGACGAACGGGATTCTGTATGCAACCGTATGCACAATATACCCTTGATAAATACTAGTTCTGACTATCTGTACAGATATTCTTTGTGCCTGGCTGCTGTAGTATGAAGCCTTGTACACCCAACACAATAGATTCAGTTACTGCGATACTCTATTGTGACTGAGAAACGGCGCCACTAGCGCGAAATACGATGCCCCACTACATTGAATGCATACCTCACCCGCTCTCGCCAAGTCAATCCAAATAGTGTACTCCTGCCGAAAACCGAAGATCTCCCTGGGGATATGGACGCTGGATGTCTTATGAGCGCTTCGTGCAGGTTCGACTCGAACCTGAGCAGGCGGTCTCCTGCTGACGCCGTCGACCCTTGCACTCATTTGTGCCCAGGGCTGCGGTCTCTTGAGAATACCGCGCTCAAACTGCCGCCGGCTAGCCCGGAATGGCCCGTTGCAGTAGCTTGACGTTCTTATTAGGTCCCACAACATGAGATATTGGATGAAGCACGGGTCGTACGAACATGCGACGCCTCTTCTCCCTCCCCACATTTCAATAGCATGTCCAGATGTGACTAGTTACATTGTCAATGCGCATGCGTTCCGTTGCCCCATGCACGTCACGGCGGCTCGTGTTATGCTGTGATTGCGGCATATACGCTCAGCCCTCTCCCTTTTGTGACACGCGGAGTGTATTTCATTCGAAGCTCAACTGTATCGCAACTCTTTACTGACGTGCTCAAGCGCACTAGGTCGTGTGAGCACTAGGCGTGGCTGACCTCAACTCGGTGTTTGCATATCTATCTTCAACGTGATCGAGATACGCCGTGCACTGGCGTTCGGTCCATGGTTCACTCCGACCCGGTACAGCTCGTCTACTCGCTATAGTCGTCAGGGTTTGCAAGTGAGTAGAGCCATCAAACGTAGAGATGATGATGCTGATGCCCTTCTCAGACCTATTTTGGGTAAATGGGTCAACCCGCAGCGAACGGAGCCTTGCCCACTATGACACAAGCACCCCGGTCCGCAGGACGACTTCGCATCGCCACGACCATTTTGCGAACGCGTCTTATGATGGGACTTGGTTCTCGACCCTGTGTTCGCGCTCGCCGGTTATCGTGCGGACAAGCTATAGCCGACCCGTTTCGCTGCAGAAGAGCGGATATAACTGGGGCGAACATGGTGATCGCTTGCGGCTACACTGTATGCTACACGAGAGGGTCGGCGGTGCATAGGAGGTTTAGGGCATGTAGAATGCCTTTTCTACTGAATTAACGACTCGGTCAGCTTTAAGAGCCCCTCGCCTTCTTCCTCCAACAATACACACTTTCACGATCAGACAACGAACATGGTGTTCTCCAAGTGCGCTCCATATCTCATACTAGCTTGACCTCTCTTACGATCCCCGGCGCAGATATCTTGACGATGCCATGGTACGCCCATTAGGCACCCTCCAGCGGCGCCCATTAACACGATCGCAGGTCCCTGAGTGGAAGAAAGCGTACATGTGAATCTTGCTATCTTGCACTTGTCCTTAGCGGGATATTCTAGCTAATTGCATGCAACAGAGACTACCGCGGCCTTAAGGAGAGTATCGCAGCTGCCGTGCGCGATGAACAGGCCCCATCGGCGCCAAACGCCTCTCCGCCACAGAAGTCCAAGCTACAACATTTCAAACAAGCTCGCGTGCCCTCGGTGGATTCGTCAACCTCCTGGTCTTCCGGTTCCGAACCATATGCGGATAAAGAACTTTCATCAGACTTTCTCTCCCACGCATGCCAATCTCGGCCACCCGAGCTAATTCATGTATGCCATATCCCCCTTCTCTCTATCGCGAGCCCCCTCTGACCAACATAGGTGCACTTGCCTCGTCATCCTGTTTCCGAACCCAAGGACGAACCGGTCGCGACCGAGGGGTCACGTCTACCGCCAAACCTGACCATACAAACTGCCATCACACCAACTCGCACGCCTTCTCATCAAACACCACTGACGCCCGGTCGCTTCTTGACGGGCGCTCGACGCACCGGACAAGCGCATGGATCCAACGAGGCTAACCCGTCCTACGTCGCACGTACGCCTGCGACACCCAGTCGGCTGACGAATAACATTTGGAAAGCCGGTGTCTCTCGTGAGCCGCAGAGTCTGTACACTCGGTTTTGATACTTCGGCTGAGCGCGTTTCAGTCTACCGTGCTGCCTCTCGTGCCTCCACCCCTGCTCGAACATCCGTCGCGCCCGATTCTCTAGACACGCTCTTGGATCGTCTATCCCCGCCTCGACGAGACATCGTCAGAAAGCTTGACAGAGAGCTCGAGAAAATAGAACAGTTCTATGTTCAACGTTCACGTGAGATCGGCGCCCATGCTGTGAAGTTACGCCGACAAACGGATATCCTTTCCATTCACCGCGATCTCCATCGTATCAAGAAGCTTCACGACCATAGCCGCGAGTGGCTCCATGTCATGGATGTGCTGTCGAGGCTAATACTTCGACCTATGCATTCCACACGGCCCGTGCCCTCGGACGTGGAATCAGGCTTTGATAAGAGTCGGGACATCCAGACGCAAGATGAATCCCAAGCGATGTCCATGCACAGCTCGGTCGTTTCGCGCTCGCTCGGAGACTACAAACGTGCGCAAAGGAAGCTGAAGCCGATGTTGCGCGAACATCACCGCGTGTTGGAGGCTGTGAATAATTATCGTGTGCGTATGGACGTTGTGGGCATGCTGCGATGCTGAGATCTCAACAGATCCTGAACCTGATGGGCTTCCGGAAAGTCTTGGAGACTCTCGACAGGACGACCAAGGTATGCGGTTGAGACATATCCTATAGCAAGTAGATGAGCTTCTTACCGACATGGTACAGGCTCCTTTGCGACTACAGGAGGTATATATGCGGGACAGGATAGAGCCCTGCTCTTTCGCGCGAGGTTTGGCTGTTCAACACATGTTGAAGGATATAGAGGCGCAATTTTCTACGTGTTTCTGTTCGTGCACGTCCGATCATGTCCGCTTGCTTCGATCGCTGATCCGCTCTATTAGTTGAAGGAAACTACAAAGCTGCGCTCGCAGACCTACGCCAACGGTCCTCTCAATCTGGTCACTATCTGACCCTCTTCTCAACTGGCGCATTACTGGGCTCGTCCATACCCGCGATTGCTCTCGGTGTTTACCAAAGTAAGCGAAGTTTGACCGAGTGCGCCGTCGAGTAGCGCAGTAGGCTCATAATGTACAGGTTTCCAACCGCACATTCGTACAGGCATACCTGGTTGGGACGCCCTTCTGCTTATATGGGGGGTGTTCTTTGTCCCTGTATTGTTGTTGCTACTAATCGGCACGAACCTACTCGTCTGGGCACATCTGAGGATCAACTACGTCTTCATCTTCGGTCCGTGTCTCATCCGCATCAGTCCACTGTCTGTCAGCGCTCACCTCCGTATAGAGTTGGACCCGCAACACATTCAAGACCACAGGAAATACTTCGAAGTACGCGCCTCCTATTATCTGCTCCGATCAGTTCCCTGCATTGTCTGACTCTGTCTCCAGCTTCCCGCGCTTTTGCTTGCCACTCTGAGCTACTCATTCTGCCTGTCGTTCTTGCGACCCGGTATTGTAGGCGTGTCACCCCAGGCATGGCCACTAGCATGGTTGCTCTTTGCGTTTGCTATGACGTTCAATCCGCTACCTCTGTTGAACCGCTCAAGCCGGCTCTGGTTCGCTCGCAACCTCGCGCGCCTGATCAAGAGTGGCTGGAGCAAAGTCCGGGTACGCTCTCTCATATTCTGACCGTGGATCTGAACGCTCACCTCAAACATCATCCTTGAGCAGTTCACGGAGTTCTGGTTGAGCGCACAACTCGCTTCCCTTGCCTTCACGCTTGGCAACATCTACTTCGTCGCGTGCTCGTACCATGTCGGGTTCGACCATGATCCTATGTCGGCGTGCTCTCGAAGCAGTGCTTGGGCCGCACCGGCAGTGCTGGCAGCCTTACCACTCATGATCCGCTTTGTGCAATGCATGCGTCGACAGGTCGATACCGGGAAGACAAGGCATCTCTTGAACGTGGGTTCTATCGGTCCAATCTGCGCAAGGCAATAGACTGAATGACCCTTCTAGGCCGCTAAGTATAGCGTCGGTGTCGCTCATTACGGCATGTATTATTGGTGGAGATCTGGACAGAACAAGTATGGCACGAGCTTCGGCCTTTACTGCCTCACGGGCACCTTGTTCGCGATCGGATCCTGTGCCTGGGTATGCCTATTCATCCGATTCTACGAGGAATGAAGAACTCATGGTCACACAGGAGTTCATCATCGACTGGTCAGTATTGAGACCACACGCTCGGCATCCCTTGTTGCGGGATGACGTGTTCTATCCTCTGCCGGTGCGTTATACTCGCGCTCAGAGAGCATGGGCCCGTCATTAACACCCCCTTGAAGGTTTACTACTTCGCTCTCTTCTCCAACATCGTCGCACGTTTCGCCTGGGTTTGCTACATCCCCAGTGGTGGCCTCAACTTCGCCCTTCGTACATGGCTCGTGGCGGTTGTTGAGGTCTTGCGACGTTGGCAGTGGAACCTCTGTGCGCATCCTTCGCGCGCCACGAGCTTGCACGAACTAACTTGTCCGTAACAGTCCGATTAGAGAGCGAGCACCTGGGTAACATGGACTCTTACCGTATCATGAGAGAACTGCCGATGTTCTATGCCCCGGACGAAGTAATGCGGGCTATGTGATTGACGAGTGTCGCGGTCATGGTCGGATATCGGTTCCCGAACCTTGGGTGATGGATCTCTTCTCTTGCTTGTGTACTTGATAGGGACTTTTGGTCTCACACGCTGTTGCTTTGTGGCTCTTGTATCGGCTTGTGTAGTCAGAAGAAACAGTACAGATACATCTACGCTCAGCAATGTTTTATTTTACACCATCGTACAACATCGCCAGCAGTCACTCAAAGACGAGTACCGTATACATCCTCCGGGGCAACACCGGCCTGACCCTTGCGGATGTTCGCCTGAGCCCACTTTTTGATACGGATAGACTCGATAGCGATGAAGCCGGTGGTGTCGGTCGGCTCGAATCCGCCGAGCTCGTCCATGGAAGATTGCTTCTCGTCGTAAAGACCCTCCTCCGACGAGCGCCCTTCGATGACGACGTTGCCCTTGTAGAGCTTAAGGCGGACAAGACCGTTCACGGTGCGCTGGCTAGCCGGGATCGCGCTGGTGACGAACTCACGCTCGGGAGTGAAGAAGTGGCCGTTGTACAGGATGCGCGAGAGCTCGACAGTGACGAACTGATCGCGAAGGGCACGCACATTGCGGTCAAGGGTGAGACCCTCAAGATCGACGTGCGCAGCGCGGAGGATAGTCGCTCCGGGCGACTCGTAGCATCCACGCGACTTGACGCCGATGAAACGGTTCTCCACGATGTCGATGCGGCCGATGCCATGCTTACGGCCGAGCGCGTTAAGCGCCAGGAAGATATCCACGGGGTCCGTGTACGTCTTATCACCAGCCACGACCTTCGTGGGCAAACCACGCTCAAACGCGATTGAAATGCGCTCAGGCGTCGTAGGCGCATCTTCAATGGCGGTTGTGAGCTTCCACATATCCGTAGGCGGGGTGGTGTCGGGATCCTCGAGGATACCAGCCTCGTATGAGATGTGGAAAAGGTTCTCGTCGGTTGACCAGGGCTTAGCCGCAGTTTGAGCGACAGGGATCTGCTTCTGGGCAGCGTACTCGAGAAGCGCCTGACGTCCAGCAAAACGATTGTAGAACTCTATTATTCGATATCATTACATGTTCATCATTCCGCAGCGGATCGAACTCACCAGGAAGACGCCAGGGTGCGATCACTTTGATGTCGGGCTTGAGGCCGTAGAATGCGAGCTCGAACCGAACCTGGTCATTGCCCTTACCAGTGCAGCCATGCGAAACGAAGCTGCGAGCATTAGATCAGAGTACAGCATGTGGATGCGGCAGAACTTACTCGCAACCCTCCTTGTCGGCAATTGCAATCATTCCACGAGCGATGACCGGGCGCGCGAGCGAGGTGCCGAGGAGGTACACATTCTAGATGGGCATCAGCATTACCCTATTTGGGTACTGATCAGGCTTGCCTCGTAGATCGCGTTGGCCTGTACGGCGGGATAGATAAGATCGGTGACGAATTCGCGCTTCAAGTCCTGTACAACTCGATCAATCACCTGTGGCACTGAGCGATAGGCCAAGTATAATGTACCTCCAAAAAGAACTTCTTCGCGCCAACTTGAAGTGCCTTTTTGCGGGCGGCTTCAAAGTCCTAACCAAACAGTCATTTAAGAGGAAAGCACCGAAAGCAATGTTATCGCACCTCCTCCTGACCAACATCCGCCATGAAGGCGTAAACCTCATAACCCTGCTCGATGAGCCATGCGAGGATGCACGAGGTGTCTAATCGTTCAAACACCCGTGAGCCCGAAATCTCAGTATGACACAGGCCCACTGACCAAGACCACCGGAGTAGGCGAGCAGAACGCGGCCCTTAGCAGCAGGAGCAGACATGATGAACCAGTTGAAGGACTGAACGGCGCGGCGCGCTCAAATCTTTGGTCCGAGTCAAAGTGTGGTCGCGTGGCTCGGCTTGGGCTCGGCCGAGTCGACCCGAGCAATCGGCGCCGGAAGTCGCCGACGGTTGAACCCAGAGCGCACCGCGAACGCTCTTGCCTCTTGCCCCCGTCAGGCCGGTAGGTGTCAACCTCATGAGATCATCATCGGCGCTGCGCGCATACATCGGGAACTGCTTGCCTCGGAAGTGCCAAAATAGTCCTGGAACCTCGTGCAATCAAGCCAAACCTTCGTGATCGCATCACCAAAGATCATGCCAGACAGTGCTGGACTTCTCCCATTACTGGCAACATACTACGGATAGGCCTCCTCTATACCTTCTCAGAGTGTTGGTATACAACAAGTATGCCCTGGCTGCTCTTACCGCGAGAAGTGAGCTTTCTTTGGAGCACTCATTTGCCATGAATACTCGGCTGCTTCTCTCCGTCATCGCCGTACTTGTGATGCTGTGTCTCGCTTGCTCTCTCATGTGCTGCACCGAATTCAATCGACCCATGCGGGGCAATTATACATCATGCGCTCCGTCTACGGCATGCATCTGTACTTCCACAGGGAAATCATCGCGCAGTGCGACTACGCATCTGGTGTTCTGCCAGAGGGTTCGTATAAAACATGGGGTACAGCGACCAGGCAGTCCTCCAACAGCCTCAACATCTTATATCGTCTCCTCGTTAGAAACAGAACTCAAGATTGCCATGTCGTCCTTCCGCTTTGTCGCCCCCCTTCTTGTCGCTGCTCTTGCGGCCGTCTCCAGCGTTCGCGCCGAGTCGCACACCATCACCTTCACCAACAACTGTGGCTACGGAACCGTACGCTTGTTCTTCACCCGTCGTCATTCCTTAGGTCAAACACACCATGTCATAGCCCACGCTGTCGCAAAACTTTAACACACTTTCTACCGGTGCACCTTACACGGCGAATGGACCGTTCGAAGCGGCGATCGCCTACCTTGACACCGGCAACTGTGGCTTCGATGGCTCAGGTCAGTATTCGTGTCTTATACAGATATCAACATACTGAAATCTAACTTAGACTGTCTCATTGTCGAGACTACGCTGAAGAACGGCGCCGTTTCTAGCACGGATTTGTCGCTTATTTCTCCGTATGACGAAGCCCTTTCCGCTCGTTAGTTGATTATCTGACCCACTGCGGCAGCCATGTCTTCTCAGCCACAACAGGCTTTGGTTATTATAATGGTTGCGATGGTGCCGGTGCTCAGTGTAAGCATTGCGTGTCGTCGGCTCAGTGTGAGATGCTGAATCCTCCGTTTATCAGGCACCGGCGCGGACTGCAGCACCGCATTCCACACCACCACCGACTACCAAGTCCAGGTCCAATGCGAGAGCGACGATGTGAGATATGCTGTATCTGCTTGTGGCACACTGTCTGATCTCTTTTTGTATAGGTTAACCTCGCTATCACCTTCTGCTAAGCGTCCGACATATCGCGCTCGCGAAAGCAAACTCTTTCGCGCCGCCATGATCTTATCGTCATCAAGGACATTTCTATTGGGTTTGCCTGTCATACACGTCTTATAGTTGTAATGCTCAAGGATTATATCTCTTGTCTGCTTGTGCGAGGATAGTGTGTCCGAGCAGTTGCAGTGCCGCCTGTTGTGAGCCTCGTGCGCATGTTGCCACGTGCGCCATCACGTCTCTCAGTTCCCGTCGTCCCCGTCGCCCCAGTTCGTACTTGACCGCCATTCGCACTGCGCACACATCTCCGCAACATAATCTACCACGCCGCAAGAGATATCACGTATGCCATCCCTTCGCCTTACGCAAGAACACGGTCTGCACGACGAGCTCGGCGGGCTTCAGTCGGACATGTTTCAATTCACAGTCACTCAAGTGGGCGCGGTTTTCTCTGCCTGCGGAGCAGTCCATTGACGTCCCCAATTGCTGTAGCATAGAATTCCTACTGAGATTCTTGAAGAGATTGTCAACGAATGTCTCGACGTCGACCGTTCCTTCGCGTCGGTCGCCGCGATATCCGCCGCGTCGCGCCTCCTGCGAGCCATCGTCAAACGCGTATATTTCCGCGTAACACGCATGATGACCCTGTACTCGGCGCGCAACATCGTCATGATACCTGACATAGCACCGTGGATACGGTAAGTGCTGTCAGCGAGCATTTATGCGCGCATATATTCACGTTTTACGCTCTCAACCTGATAGGCACCTGTCCATCGGTGTTTGGGCGCTCAACCGCATGGTTTCCCCCGAGTCGACACTTCCCCTCCGCTCCTTGAATCTTGTCAACTTGAATGTGTACCTCCAAGGAAACCCGATGCCGAGCTCACTCATCGATGCGCTCCCTCATTCCCTGCGAGTTCTGCGTGTGATATCTCTTGCGCATATCAACCCCGCGAGTCTTACCGCGATAGCACGTAGATGCCAGGGCATTCAGGAGCTTGAAATATCCGTTGCAGACACCCTCGACTCCTCATGCTGCTTGGACTGCTTCGCAGAGTCAGAGAGTCGCGTCGTTCATTCACCGATTGGACACGGCAAGCGCGCTCAGACTATAGAGCAAGTCGTTGTACGCATTCTTTCTCTACAACCTCGACGTCAGGACTTAATCTAGGTTAGGATGCCTACGCTGATGCTCTCCAACATCTCCCTCGTCTTCGACGACTGGCCCTCGGCGTCTTCATCTCCCCCGCAGCACTGCTCACGACGCACCTCAACCGCCACCGCGTAGATGCCCAACCCTACATCACTGATGGAACGCCAGCCTATGACACAGCGTCAGCGCAGCACACCCCTGCCGCGGCTTTGAGTCCACGCGTCAAGACAGGCGATTACCAGTTGGTTCGAGCACCACCCGCAACCAACATCATAGACCATGTCGCGCGCTTCGGGCACTTTGCTACGCCCTCAAAGTGCATGGACTGCGTGCGGGAATACAGCGTATTCGTACGCAGGGACGAACTTCGCGCAACGGTGCGTCTTGCGCAGCGCTTGAAGAGCCTGGAGAGCGTGTGGTGGAGCTCATGGTTCTCGGGCGACGATCGGACGGGCGCTCTGTGGACGAAGCTGTCTGTGGTGCGAGAGGACAAGCGTCTGAAGGTCGCAAGGCAGAGGCGCGCTTGAGGCGCTGGTCCGCGACCCTGCTTCAGTCCGCGAACCAGGCGTGATTGAGAACGACATTCATCCAGTTACACATTGTACGAGTACATGCACGTCAACGGACTAGGACTAGGGGTCGGACTGTCTTCACGATGTAATAGCGGGAGCCTCATCCTCGTTCTGCATGCGTATAGCAAGTTGCCGTAGGTGGTACGGAGTTATACCAAGTTCTGCGAAATACGCTTTGGGCTCCACAGCCCTGTCCGCGGTCCTTTGGCCAATGTTGTCTGTGGTACTTATAAGAGGACATATGGTGCAAGAGGACATGCATTTGAAGTTGCCAGCACGATAGACGCATGCTTGCCCAGGCGCAAGTCTGTCACGTCCCTGTTCGAGTCTTGAGATCCATAATTTTGTGATTACATATGCTTTAGAGCCGTACGCGTGGCCCATTCGGAACCGGACATGAACAACTCTATCTGCGGAACCGGTTCTTCTGGTCCTTCGAGGTTCATATCACGCGCCGCAGTGAGCAATTTCTCGTCTCGAGTCTGGTCCATGTATTGATTGCACAGAGCCTCCCAACGTGGAGCGCACACACGTTTATGTTCCTTCCAATCACTTCAATGTATTAGTTAACGCTCAGATGGAAATAGCTTCACGTAATGCGTACTTTATCTGGCATGTTTGGGAGCAGTAGCTGACGGCTCGGCATTTACCGCATTTGGCGCTCGCGCTATTGCTGCACCCGCGGAGATTGCACCTATTGACGAGGTTCAATGTGCGTCGCAGGAAGAGTTGAGCTGACACATACAGGTCTCTCCCCTTGCAGATGCTCTGAAGCTCGGCTTGCATTTGCCACAAGCTGCGCACCAAGCCATGTTTGTCATTATCATACGGCTTCATCAACCAATTCAGCACTTTCTTCTCCGCAGTTGGATGTTCAGGGTCTCTGCGGTTGAGGTGAGCACAGATCGCTACGTCGAGTGGTATAAACCTGCCGTTTGTTCACGTCGTCTGCGGCCTTTTCGCACATAGCGGCTATTGTCCTCGCCCGAGGAAAGTGCGTCGCCATCTCCGCTCGAAGATCGGCGGCATCCGGACTACTCACAGCGTCAATCATGCTTTTTAGAACGATATGATACTTCACTGAGAAGGGCCGGTCAGTAAGAGCTAGACGAGCCTGGATTGGACTTACGTGGTCCGTCCGCCAATTCTGTGAGGGTGAAAGCCATTGAAGCTTCTACGGCTTCAAAATACCCCTCTCTCACCCAAATATGAAGCAGCTCCCTCAGTTCCGCCTATCGAAGGATTCAGAACTTAGGCAACCGTACAGAGGGGCTGGGGGGCTGGGAACTGACCGTTTTAGTCTCCTCGAAGCCGAAGTGGGACGAGATGTTCCACAGAAACTCCTGCAGGAGCTCCATAAGGAACACAATTTCTTGCTCGCCAGCTTTAGTATAGAAGTCAAAGAATGTTCTCCAAAACGTGCTGTGTGTCCTTAGGGCAGCATGGAATGTATCTATGCTGGGTGTTGCCATGACCGTGCTGTAGTGGAGGAACAGGATGAGCTCAAATGTAAAATGCCGTGAATTCGCGGGGGCATCTCGCGTCATATGTTTCACGGCCACGTCGAGGAGCGCAGCGCACGCAATCTCATCGTCGGGTCCCGATGCAGGTTGAAAGACGCTGAGTATGCGCTCAAGCGTTTGTCGTTTGGGCGACGGCGAATGAGCTGCCATTTGTTCCTCGGATAACGATGGTACAAGGGGGAACATGATCGACTGTGTGAGTGCGTCCGCGGTCAAAGACGCATCTCGCGTTGACGTCGAGTGCTGCCACTGACGTGCGATGAGTGAGATGGTGAGATCATCAGGCAGATAGACGCAGCTGGAGGGACAGCATATGAGACAAATAAATCTTTCAAGCATGACCAACGAAGGACGTACTCGGCCATGATGGACGGGTCCACCACAATTAGTTTCGTCAGTATTTCTGCGATCCACGCCCGCTCATTCACGCGCACGGTCTGAGGAGTCTCGTCGAGTGAATGCGCGGGATCATTCCATAACTGGCAGAGGGTTTGTGTCAGTAATAGTCTGCCTTGATAGAAAGAGAGTCAACCCACCCGCGTCACCATCCCGGACCAATGCTTTTTGAGCGCGTCGATGACGATCTTGTCTGTCAAGGTTGGTGGCTGCTTGATCGCAGCGACTCCGAAAGCGAGCGTGTGAAGGGCGTGAGCCCACGGGGTGGCAGGCGGTTGGGAAGGCGCTTCTGTGGAGTCATTCGCAAGCGCCAACGGGGGGTCGGTTGTATTTTGAGCAGTAGTAGTAGTGGTAGACCACCATTGGATCCTTGATCGATCTCGACCAGATCCTGTATTGTTGGCCAGGCGGTCCGGTTTGGCTATAGACTCGCAAAGCGCATCTGCGATTCCGGCCATAATCAAGTTTTCCCAGAGCTTCGCGTATCGAGGCTTCTTCTTGCTGAGATCTCTGGCGACTATCAGGATAGCTTGTAACGCAACGCGTGCGTCGGCGCCATTATCACCAAGCTCGGTCGTCGGGTTCTCCTCGTCGAGTTGAAGTACCGCGACCACACACGCGGGATCCTGTTCTGCAATGGTCAGCCACGTCTGGACAGTAGTAAACATAGTGAGATTGTGAGGAGAGAAGGCAAGGTGGGCGCTTTGAAAATTGACTGAGTTGACACTTCTGTATGAGGAAAGCCATGGGTGGCTAAGGACGTAAACAGCAGTACGCCGCTTTGGCACGTTGCGATAGAAGAGCCTCACGAGAGTCACCGCGAGTGCGAGACATGGCATTTCTCTCAGGAAGCGTACATCATGTCTGTGCAGCGCCCGTCAGACACCGCCTTCGATTAAATGTATCCTGATATTTGCAAGGAAGGCTCTGAAGGTGACAGTGGCCATCATGATGGGGGTTTGAGACCAAGCCGCGCCGCGACGCAACGCGTTCAATGTCTTCTTCACCCACGACCACGACCGCGCCTCCAGCCTCATCCCAGTCTATATCCGTCCGCCACTTATTTGGCCTACGTGAGGCATTATGGACATCCGCAAACCTGAGCTCGCCGCAACGCGTATGGGCACTATTACACCCCGAACTCGAACGGGGCGCATTGACGCAACATGACTTTCTTGTGGCGCATTCGTCCGAGGATTTACACTCGTCGGCCAATCTTCCTGTAGGTATCGCCCTGTTTCAATGCTCCTGCTTGGTGCTAACTCTGTACCATAGTTCAAAGGTCTAGCTGGAGGTGCTGGAGCAGCAGCTATACTCCTAGGAACTGCGCATCTCGTAGCACGGCGTCTACGCGTCCCCGGTCTTCTGACAGGCGTGATGCGTCAAGCGCCTCTAGCTCTGCCCTTCATCGTCTTCGCACCGGTATCTCTCGGCTATACCCTAGGCGGGATGGCGCAAGCTTCCCGACAAGAAGCATTCTGCAGCAGTCTGGACGACCGAGCTGCATTCGCGCGCGCTCTAAATGAGGCCGCGGACCGGGAGCCCGGATGGATTGGCGCGGATGTGTTTGGAGAGAAGAGGATACAGGCTTGGTCTACACGTTTGACGTCTCACGGGCAAGCGGGGACGCTCGCGCCTAGGAAGGAAGAGCTGGAAACGTTCGTGCGGTCACAGGAGGAGGAACAGCTGGCATCTCTACGGGATACCCCTGCCACATCGCGAAATGTCGATACCGACATGGTGATGGTGGACAAGTTCGAAGCGGGCTCTACACCCGTACCCAGTACATCGACTAGGAGGGCATGGTGGAAGTTATGGTAGTAGCACATACGCAATGCCATGTCCGGTCGTCGACCTATTACTCGGTGATCACAACCCAATACAATCATGTATTACACAAATCTTATCGTAAGGTATGGTAGCGTCAGAAGGGAACCTAAATCATCGATATCCAAACTAAGGCTACAAACAGTTCTACGACCCGATACCGGATACATATCGTACCAACCAAGGCAGCCGACAGCCGGTAGCCAATTCTATACGGCCGTAGCAAGTCCAACCGGACCCAGAAAACAACACCCAACGATACACGGGACACACAGAAGCATCTCAAAGCCGTCCACGTACAACAACCCCAGCGTCGAAAGTCGATACATTCCATCCATCCTGAACCAAAGCCCCGCGAACAGCGGGCAACAGAACGCTCCTCCCACCGTCCGAGTGTGTACCCTTCCCAGTGATAATCGTCAATGGCACACCAACCTCCGCCACGGTCTCCTTCGCCACAGCCACGGCCTCTGCAGCTGTGAGGAAGTGCAGATCGATGGTGTGAGCTTTTCCATCGAGCGATGTGGACCGTGTCGCGAGAACGCGGGCTCGAGCGTCGTTCAGCGCGGCGGCGCGCAGCTGCTCGTTCAGCTCCCTGGCCTGCTGAGCATAAAACAACGCGACTTCGCCACCATGGTTGCGCGTATTGCCCGTGGACCACGCACGACCAGCTTGGAGGATCAAATCGGCCCTCTGCGAACGAAGCTCATCTACGCGTTTGAGCGCTACGATGGGTTTGCGTGCAGTGGCCGATATGGGTGCGGGGTTATGCGATGGAATGAACGCTGCGTGCGGGTTCGGTCCGGGCGCGACCTTGCGGGGGACAACGTTCCACGCATACGGCGATGGCTTGGACACGGATTTCGCGGGGAGCGTGTCTGAGCGGCGTAAGCCGGGCGGCGGGGGTACATCGGGCGGATGAACCGGAAGTGCCGCAGACGAACGCGGCGAAGCGGGTAATGAGGGTGACACCAGCGGGGCGGCGTGGTACATCCCTCGCCCATAGCCAGCGTCATCGTCGAGCTCGCGTAGGAACCAGACGAGCTGGAGCGCGTCGTCGAGGCGCTCGATGTCCAGCACGCGTGCGGCGAGCGCAGTGTCCGTATCAAACGTCTGTGATCGCGCCTCTGCGTCAAGCATGGCCAGCTCGGGCGAAGACACAATCATGTCCCGAAGAAGCTCCGCTACCATGTTGGCTGACTCGGCCGGCTGAGGTGGTAATGACGCGAGAGCAGCGCGAGCGGCTGCGGCGGGCGTCGCATGTTTGGGAGAGTGGAAATGCGATGCGAAGACCGAGTCAGGATGGGGTGAAAGTAGCGTGGCCATTCTGGCCGAGAGAGACGCGACCGTCGTCCAAGCGTCGAGTCCGGCGGATCCAGCAGTCGAAGTCCCAATAGGGGACGGGCGAGACTGGCTGTGGTGTTGTTGCCGGACGTCGTTCAGCGCGACAGTGCGGCCCTTTTTCTTGCGCTTCACAATCTTGCGCCAGGGTTGTGGCGGCGCCTGTTCCTCCTCCTCGAGTCCACGATCCTTCAACTCCGCGAGGTACTCCTCGCTCAATGTATTCTCAATTACCGAGACCATATCCACGTCCTGTGGCGCGATGCCGGCGAGCGCAGCGCTGAGGCGCTCCGACGTGACATGTGGGAATGCCGCCTGAAGAAATGCGAGGGGGTCGGAGAGCGCGAGTTCCTCTGAGTCAGAGGTAGATTTGGGAGAGTCGTCCGTGGTCGGGGCGACGGAGGTGGGATTCGTAGTAGCGTGTTCGTATACAGAGGAGCTCTCGCTCCCGCTGTGCTCCTCGGCCTTTTCTGCGCGCTTTTCGTCGGTATCTGCCTGGGTAGCCAGGAGAGATAGAGTATGACGCAGGTCGTCAATCTGAGCTTCAGATACGGTGTCGTCCATGTACAAATCTGCGACGAGTGCGGCGACCAGGACGGAGTCCAGTGGCGGGCAGAATTCGAGCTTTATGGTTCACAATAAGTTCAATTCTGGATGCTCGACTGGTTATGGGGCGACATGCCTGTAAGCGCTCATGTAGTATTTCAGATGTTGGTACAGGAGCCATGGCAGAGTATGCGGCAGTAGGCTGAGTGAGATGGAGGCGCAAACCAAGAGTTATTGATGGCATCACCGGGAGATTGAATTGTGGGCTTTCCAGCCCGCGGCGCAACTTCTCCTGCTCTGACGTCGACACCGATGTGGCGCTCGGCGGCGACTTGCACGATGCACTGCCTCGTGCCCTCCTTCCTTCCTCCTCTCCTGAGCCTCCTACAACGCGTGTCTGCCTGCGGGCATCTGTAGGCTCGTCATTGAGCCGAGTTTGGTCCAATGGACGCTTGTTTCCTCAGCCGCCCGACGTCGCGCGGCGTGACGACGCCCATTCCAGCCATGAGCTCTCCCACATACCAAGCGTAGCTGGGACGCAAACCAAGTACGACCCTCGCATTCTTTGATACACTTGTTCTCGATTGAGGACATGGCGGGTCCGAGCCCATAGTTCGTCGGAGTTGGTGGGCGCGGCATGAGAATAACCGAGACCCCCTGACTCGCATCCAGTGGTGTACAACCACAACTTGCGATGCTTCGCGATAAGAGTTCCTCATTGTTCTCTACGCCTCGTCCCGTATTCGGACGCCGTAGCTTTGTTCGCGGTGGTTGGGACAGCCATATGCTTCGCGACTGCGCTTATTGTCCTCTCTCACCTGTGGTCATAGCATGCTGATCCGGCAATGAGTGGCGGGCCATGTCCAAGCTCTCCATTGTTTCCAGCCCAGTGCATAAGTATGGGCAGAGCGCACCTCAGGCGTACAACGCCGTCCCCCGACCCCGCTCTGTGAGCCGTCGCCTTTACACGCCGAACTTCCCGCCCGCCCCGCGCACAACATCGCCAGACAACAACTATCTGAACTCACGATGGCCGCACTCGCCAACAACGCAAACCACGGCGCTCACCACGCTCCGCCTCAGACTTACGAAGAAAGACTCGCCAACGCCGTTTGGGCAGGAGAACGGTACAACCTTCGAAAACAAGGCAACATTCGTGAGTCCGTAAACCCGTGAGCACCTTTTGGTCCTAATACCCATTGGCACTTATTGACATATTTGGTCAGCCTTACATGGGGACGCTTGGATCCTTTCATGGCCATTGGGGATTCGTATAACAGATTCGAATTCTCCCTCGCAAAGACTAGGTATACCATGGGGCGTGCAGCGGACAACGACATCGTGCTTCAAAACAAACTCATCAGTTAGTCTTTTTCTTAGCAATCTCTATTCACCTATCTCTGACACCGCTCTGATGCAGGTCGTCACCATTTGACTATTGAGTACCATCCCGAGAAGCGCGTTGTGACTGTGACGGACCACTCCACACGGGGCACGTGGGTTTACAAACCACCTACTCGTAGCTATGATGGTCTTCTCGAGAGGGGCGTTCCATACCCGCTCACCGACGGAGATTACCTTGAGGTGGGGTATCACACCTATGTGTTTCACTCGCACGTCGGCCAGCTAGTCGAGCGTCCGAGTACACGGGACTACCTGGAATACGAATCCATGCTGCTCCGCGTCCTCCCTGCTGTACAGGACCACATACGCAACGTGATCTGCTCGTGAGTCTTTACCTATTCTATACACTCGTCGAATGGGCGCTAACGCGTCGGCAGCCACAAGCACATCGAGCCGCAAAACTGCAATTCCAATGATATACACACAAACGCGAGCCTGCTCAATGAGAAGGATGCTCGAAAGATGCTAGCCATCCACCTGATGCTTGGCCACCTCGCCCCGGAGAATGGGCCCGTATATCCCGACATCCCCGTACCGCGCAACGACAACAACCGCGACCGATCCCCCTCACCCACCCCGGAAAAACGCAATAAATCAACTCCGCCGCCGACTCCAAGTCACCCCCGGCGCGAAACCCCTCCTCCGTCACGCTCGAGCAAGAAGCAGCGCGAAGAATGGCCTACATGGGCGCTGTTCGGCCGGAAGGACAGCGAAGGACGCCTCCCGCCAATGGTCGGCTACTCCCCAGGCCCTACCCCCTGGGACATCGCGGAGCGAATCCGCAAGTCCAAACTCGCACCCGCGCCCGAGGCCGGTCCCTCGCGCAAGCGCTCCCGCGACTCCGAAGACTCAAACGTGTCTGACTCAAGCGACGACGAGCGCCCCGCCCAGCGCCGCCGCTCACCCGCACCGCCGCCCGAGACGCCCGCGGCACCACGCCGGGCTCTGCGGCGCGGAAAACGCACTCCCTCGATGTACAATGTTGTCGACGCCGAAGCCGGACCCTCGATGCGCCTTCCCGCTCATATGCGCAATATTCGCAAGCGCTCTCACGACGAGAGCGAGGAGGACGAGGACTCCTCGAGCGCCGGGGTCAAGGCCGAGCTATCATCCCCTTCCCCCTCTCCCGCGCCTGCGTCCAAAAGGCGCCGCACACAGAAGACGAACCCCAGATCCGAGCCGGAGATCAAACGCGAGCCGAGGACCCGCGCGCGCACTCAGCCGCAGGCCCAACCTACCCGCCGCTCTCAGCGTATCGCGGGGCAACCGGATGAGGCGCGGGCGCCGGCTCGCGCAGCGCCACTGGGTCCTGTGGCGGCTGTGAAGAAGGCAGCGCAGGGGAAGAAGAAGGCCGCAGGGAGTGCCGGGGGCCGGAGGAGGCGCTAGGTTATCTCTTCTACTCTATGCTCGTCACGGACTTGGGTCTGCGTCTGTCTGTATATCTGTATCGGTCTGTTTATAGCCACGCTTGAGAAGCCGCTTTGGCGACTACTCGCGGGCTTTGTATGTTCCTGTTTCGTCTCTTATCATCTGACTGTACCATCCGTAGTATACCCTTTGCGTATCACCATCCAAATGAGCTCGTCTTTCTCAACTCTTTTCGCGTGAACCCAGTCCAGTGAGGACAAAGCAAGCAAGCAAAGTATGCATGAGTAGCCAGTACTTAGTTAGATGCAAACTGACTCTATCTAGGTCTAGGATGTCGTACACCGTGCGTCATCTTACATGGGAAAGCACATGAACCAGAAGAAGAAATCATGAAGTCATTACTCGTCTACGCCACCACCTCGCCAGCGGCGACCGACGCGTGGAGCTCCTGCACGACCTGCGCGGCCTTAGCCTTGAGCTCGGGGACCGAAGGCGGAACAGCACCGCGCTGAGGCATCGGTGCGTCATCAAACCATGCCGCGCCCCGAACGAACATGTCACGGTCGGGGAACGCCTCGACGATGTCGCAATGGAACCCCTCGGTGCTGAGTGTGTAACGGCGCCAAAGCGTGCGGCGGCCGGTGTGCTCGTCACGGCCAGCGCCGGCATCAAGCAGCTCAAACTTGGGCGGCTGGCCGAGCTTGCGGAACATCTGTCCGACGGCGAACTTGTCGTCGAGGAAGAGACCCTCGCAGAGCGCGCTGGAGAGCGTGATGGTCGACGTGGCGACGCAGACGGTGCGGCCGCGGCAGACGAGGTGGACCTCGCGCTCTTGAGTGACGGGAGCCTCGTTACATGCGGGTCCGTTGCGTGGTCCGGTGTTTGCGTAGATGGACTTGATGGAGATGGTCTCGGCGAAGAATGCACTGCAAGGATAGAAGGGAAGAGGGAAAAAGGCACGGGACCGCGTCAGTGCGCGTCATGATTGGCTCGGAACACCGCGCCGCACCTCAGCATCCGCTGCAAGTCGCCACGTGCGGTCAACAGAATACGCTCAAGGCCGGTGATGTCCTCGGGCCATGCGGAAAACTGGATGAACGTTTCAGCAGAAGCGCCACAGCTAGAGCAACCTGGAGAAACGGTGCGCACCTCGAGAGTGGTGGCGTTGGGACGGAAAGAGTCGATGATGGCCATTGCGGTCGGAGTTGCGGTTGCGGAATAAGTCGGGGAACGGTCGAGAGGTTTGGAGCGTGGGACTCGGTGACTGGCACTAATGAGCTGCTCAGGTTCGTCGGTGAGGGGTTGTCAAGAAGCTGGGTAGTTGTGGCTTACACTGCGAGGATGGGTGAAGTGAGACTGCTTGGGGTCCGGAAACGTAGGTGGGGGGTTTTATACTTAACTTGTGCGGGTCAACATCATACTTCGAGCGCTCGAGCTTTACCATGACGGATCGAGCGTACATTGTACAGTGTGCGAGATGTGAGGGCATGAGAAGATGTCGTACGCAGCGCTCGATAGGGCAAGCATCCACTCGTTAAAGCGGGTTGGACTCACCTCACCTGGTTGGCGCCGTCAAACGCTGTGCTCGGCAAGCGGCGTCTAACCATGTATCACGGATAGATCACACTTGACGGTAAGCATTATCCCACTGTATGGAACAATCCATGATAGATCCTCCACTTTACCTTCGTTGAGCGCGCGGAAGAGCGGTGATGCGGCAACTTATCATGTATCATGCATCACGGAGAACACGCCTGCCCAGATCTGGTGTAGGAGGCAGCCTGTATCGAGAGCTCATCGCTATCGCCTGACGTATAGGGTTCTCTTGCGTTGAGTGGCACTCCTATGGTCAAGATAGCAAACGCGTTCCTTTTGAGACTCAATAAGAAGTGGCGTAAGAAGCATACATACGCGACCGCTTCGTTGCCGCTTCGTCACCAGGGCTCGGGTTGCGATATGAGAATGCCGTTTCATCGCGTCAAGTAAGTAGGGTCGCAACGCTCGTTGAGGGTCAGTCGTTCCATAGGCCGTATCCGTTACGCAGCCACGGCGTCTGCCGGATGCAGAATCCGAAAGGTGAGCTCACTTTCGAACAGTATGTCGGAAGGTGCAACACGATACGCGCCCTTCAATGAAATCTCCTAGGCGCAATTGCTCGAGTTGGGCCATTTAAACAGTAGCGGGGTGGAGCGTATCCCTCATCGAACGCAATGCGAAGAGCAATATCCAGTGAGTCCTGAATAGATAGTCCTCGTCGCGACAAGGTCGAGTTCGAGTTCGGTCGAATGCGCTTGTCTTCGTCCTGCACTTGAGGTGATCGTAAGGCCAGAATCATCCGGCCGGAACTTGCTGGCGGAGGCCGCACGCGCGCCTGAATAGACGCCCGGCCGTGGACGTCGGCGGCAGTGTATAAGCCGCTTCGGGTATGTTGGCCGCGGACTTGGCTGTGGACTCAACCGTCATATACCAGGTCCCAACGCCCTTCTTTACAAAAGGAGTTCAAGATCATCCAGGCGCACAGGACGAGATTAAGCCTTGAGCACGTATACTTAGACCAGGTATATGCCTCGGCCACCAGATGCATTGGGAGGGATGTTGAGATGATGATTCCACAGAGGTAAACCAATATTATTATAGTACAGATGCAGCAATGAGTGTATGGGATGAGTAAAACAAGCGACATGCCTCGCTGAGTGACAGCGTAAGCCAGAAGAATATTCATAAAAACCAATATCCAGAGAAGACCGAGCCGACCAAAGCTTACAACATTACGAGCATTATCAAGACCGAGTATTAGAGGCGGGTGACAGCCTTAGCGTCAAGAGGCATGCCTGAGGAGCTGGATGAGTATGGGGCTATCTGGCTCGCAATTCATGCAGACGTACCAGACGGGTCGATGCCGTTGGCAGCAAAGAGGCGGTTTTGGCGGATGAGGCGCGCCTGGTCAAAGCTATGCTTGTCGTTAGAAAGAGTATTCTCAAGGCAGTTCAAACACGTACGTGACATTCTCCCGGCGCATGATGTCCATCACCTCGCGGGTACCGTTCTCGTCGAGACCCATGCGCAGATCGCCCTCCCGCAGGTTGTTGGCTTCAATGTCGAAGTTGTTGCTGGTCATGCCGGCCGCGGCCTGGTCGGAGAAGGTAGAAAGGCGTTCATAATTGCTTGAAGAAGGGTGGTTAAGGAGAGACCGGATGCTCTGAGGAAGGGGAAGGGTGGCCCGGTAACGGTAAAGCACTAGGAGATTGTTGTCAGCGCCCCTATCTCCACCCGTGCAAACTCGGAAATGAGGGATGCAACGCACGCATTACCAGTAACGCCGCGAGTGAAAGAAGGGTAAGTTGGGGAAGGGAGACCATCGTGCGGTAGTCGGTTGCGGGGTGCTTTATGCACAGCGCGCGCTTGAATGGTTGGTTGTTGCGAAGTGATGAATTCTCCGGACAATTCCGCCCGAGGTTGCTTGCTTCTGCACCACGATGATGTGCGCGCTTTGACTGCAGGTGTGGACTTTGAATGCCGCCGGGTAGCGATGTCTGTCGATAAAGCAAGATGAGAGTTAGGGCAGAGTTCCAAATCTCAGAGGGGTGCCCCTGCTACTTTTAGCCGTCGCGCAGCCACGGTCTTCGGCGACTCTTCGCGCATGCACGAGCGCTGTCCGTTCTTGCACCGAGACCGTCAATCTACTGACCCGCAAACACTTACACTACATGCCTGTATTCACAGCGCAAATAGCCCTGGAATATTTCCGTCGTGCCATCTCCGCCACTCGTCGCGACGTGCATCACATGAAGATATGTGGCTATGCACGCGTACGGCACGGACTATGGACCGAGTCTAGTGTCACTGCGTCTAATCCCCTCGTCACTTGTCTCTCTCAGGCTCAGACAGTGATCCTCGTCGCGCCGTCTGTGCACGTCTCAGCTCCTATTCGCGATCCTCAAACCACATCGGGCGCATCCAGAAGGTAAGTTACACCTACGCGACTAGCCAGTGACCCACCTAGATACGCATAAACGCCCATCGGACGGCCGTGAGGCGATTACAGGGCATGTGTCCGCACCGCCATCTCTCGCCACTTGTCCTCTGTGACGCGGTGGCGGAACTTAGTGATGATCGTTGGCTCTGCGTTTAAAAGCGACCCGAGGTCTATGTATCGGCTTCATAGCTCGCCCGACTACGCTCTCTAAGCGTCCAACACTACACACTTCCTGCTGGACTCTGACAGATCCACTCGACATTCTTCTGACTTGCCTTCCTTCAGGTTCTCTCCAACGTCGACTCTCGGTGCGTAACCCTCCACGTCTATGTGCGATAAGCAGCTCACGTAGAGATGCAGTGACAAGATCTCCTTGTGTTGAGATGTTATCTAGACCAGGCGATTGCGATCGATCGTCTGCTAAAGACGTCGGGATCCCGATCTCGAGCCCGGCTCACTCAAGCGCTCCGTCTGCTCTCGTCGCGTTCGACTCTCAAAGCGCATTTCCTCGACCGAGGTCCTTGCCCATCGAGCTGTATCGAAACATTCTGTGCTTCATGGATGACTTGGCAGATGTACCCACTTGGGATCCAGGCCTTGATCTGCATCGCATGCTGTTCGTGTCCCGTCGCTGGAGGGAACAGGCCGAGAAGTACATCTACACTTACGTGAGGGTTCCCATGGGACGCATATTGCATTTCTTCGAGACTTTGTCGAATCGACCGGATCTCGCGTATCAGGTTCGGGAGCTCTACTTCTACGGGGTCGGTTTGAGGCCTCCTGTTGACGGTGACATTGAGTGCATCACTCAAGGGCTCAGGTCACTCGTGAGGCTGAGAGATCTGACGATATGGTCGCATTACATCGACTTCATGAGGGAAGAGTTATACACGCTTTACGAACCAAAAGACACCCATATCTTGCGCGGTCCCTTCCCATTCAAGTTGTATCGCTTTGCCACGGACATTCTTTGGTCGGAGGATGAGCGTGACTTCATACAAGCCCAGGAGGAACTACGGATTCTGAGATTATCTGGTCCTCGGAAGTATGATGGCGACTCTTGGACAATGCCTGCTTCGGCTTTGCCTCGATTGCGATGCCTGTATGCTCTTCCCGGAGTGCTAAAGGACTTCGAATGCAAGCCGCACCTGACGCACATGCATCTAGCCTTTTGGGGTCACCCGGCCCAAGAGGAGGCGTATGGTGCGGATGAAGTGTGCAAGGCCGCACAAGATACATTGCAGCTTCTCACTGTCTCTCGCAATGGGTGCGCTCCCGACATACCCTGCCTCTCGCCGGGCTCTATGCTCCAGAGGCTGATACCTTGTAACTCCCTGAGGTACTTGGGCTTCTACGACGAGTGGAACTACTGGGTGAGTTCTCAGCTCATGAAGAAACGTGTCAATCTACGTCACTAACAACTATCAAGACTCCTCGCGACCGCGCTAATATCCTGCGTGTCGTAACAGAGAACTTTCCTGTTCTCAGTATATTCGCCATCTCATCTTATCATAGCCTACCAGAGCTGAGAGCCGGATGGGATAGTTCCGATTGGGGCGATTATCTCACTGATTCGGATTTCGATGAAAAAGGTGTGGATCGCATGCGGGACTATGCCACAGACCTCTTATGGGCGCATGAATCTCTGCGTGTATTCATAGTGGCGGGCGTAAACCGCAGCTTACCTGTGATGGCATTCGTGAAGTTGCCAGACACGGACGAAGCGCTTCTCGTCGAGCTGCCTGAGCCGCAGAGGTGTGCCGCGGATTGCCACGAATTCATAGACCCGCTATCTCCCTTCTGGTTTGTTGACCATGACGGCGCTCTCCCAAATCGATTCAGGAACTTCGAGGGAGATGCGACGGACTGGATACCCGGAGACTACGACCACTTCCTACGTCATAGAAGTGCCTTCGGCGCGGAGACTGTTCCTCATGCCGGTGAAGAGGAAATACGAGGTGGGGAGTCTCACCCTCTCTTGACACCCAGAGTCAGTTACTCACACCCTTTCAGAGTGGCGAGCCGTCCAAACCGCAACTTTCAACGAGGACGATACGCCTAGTTGATTTGTATGATCACATTCATATGAGCGCAACTGTTGTGCAGAATTTCAATTTAATATTATTATATGCGGTATGAATGAAAATTAGAAGTAAATCGAGATGGTAAATCGAATGCGATGAGAGGAACAGAGAAGGCCGCGGTGGGAACCATCGAGTGAGATCTGGTTTGTCCGCTACGGGGTGAGCGAGGAGGGTGATATGGGGCTGGATAGTGCGACGAGCCGGCGATACCCACCCAATAAATGTGTGGGTTGTATTATCAAGACGGGGTTTGATCGTGAGATGCCCAGACTACGGCGCCTTTCGTAAGAGCAAGAAGTTCAAGGGCCCCGTCGGAATAGATGAGACCATATGGGCCAAGACACGCCGGGAGATGTATGGGCACGCGGATCGTGGGGAAGTAAACGGTCAGTGCAAGGCCTCCTTCTGCTTGTATCCCGATCCCAAGCAGGAGGGCCAACTGGCCTGCGAGATGGGCATCGTCTCGAGTGACAGATGGTATAAGCGCGAGTTATCATCTTCCAATGCTGGATCAGAAACCAGCACTCAATGAAAGAGAAGAATGAACGCACATCGTATCCACACATCTTCTCTATCTTGTTGGCGTCGGCGAGTGGCTAGGGAGGGAGTGGTGATTTGGGTTTGCTAGGGAGGATTGGGCATTCAATGCTCTGCTCGTCTGGCTTTTGAAGGTCGTAGAGGTGGCCATTCTTGTCGGTAACCACCACTGAACAGAATAGCTGTAACAAAGACTTGGGCGAGACAGAGACAACCCCTACAAGACGAACAACGAGGAACCAGAGCACGATGCTTCTGAAGTTTCGGAGGCGATGCGGAGACCTTTGTTGAGAAGTGCCACAACTCCCACCTGACTCACGAAGGTTGTCGTCGCGATCCGCTCGAGAATAGAAGGTGACGCGTCCGGGCGGCAAACGTAGTTATCGAGCCAAAACTCGACCAGGTAACATCCGTCATACTGTTTCTCGCGGGATGTCTTAAGACCGTATGATTTTCCTGTCGTATAGTAGAGCGATCCAATATCAAGGTCCAATATGCATGTCGAGTTGTCGATGGGCGCAGTCATGAAGCTCGAGGTCCAAGCCGAGCGAAGACGTCAACAAAGCGAGAAGGCCATTCTTGACGAGCCGAACACTTGTCGAGTTTGAAGGACATGCTGCGCGGTCCAGCGCACAGCCCCCTGGACAGCGGGAGAAGCCTGTGGATACTACCACTTTGTTAGGTTTGTCGCGTCGTAGTTCACAAGGACGTACCGTTGTCCACCTTTGTCTCCATACCTCTACTACTCCCTCAGTCTACCTCGCTGCTATCCCGCCCATTAACGTTTTCGTAAGTATGCAGCCCTCTTCGTAACGCTAGAAGAGCAGTCGCCTACTGGGAGGCGCCGCCAGGGTGGACAGACTGGAAGCGGTCCGAGTGTGTCACATTTAAAGACAAGGGCAAACTTGAGAGTCGAGTTCCGCGTCCACATCAGCACAGCTCACGACACCACATGGCACTGCAGGCGAAGAAGCAGTCATAATAGAGAGGCAAGGTCAAGGTCACGACGTTGATGGTCACCGTTCAGAACGAACAACGGATCGCCCGAAGCTCGACGCGGCATCCGCATCAGCGCCCATACGAACAAACGCGCGCCAACAGCCGGGACATTTGCTTGTTGGAGACCTACATCTTTCGAAATGTTCCTTTTTTTCTCCCTCTAGCTTAATCTCCTTCAGAGCGTGCACTCGAGTCGTAAGCAGTATGCGGTCCACGGCGACGGCGGCGCTCAGCAAACGCCTATACAAACATATAGGTACGCGTGACGTCACGCGTCTCTGTATCTGTGATCTCTTCAAACGGGAGTCCAAGGTTTTGCGCTGGCACTGCATGCGTGCTACGTGTATTTGCCTGGTACGAGGAGAGAGGAACTTGATGATGCATTCTGTCTTGCATGCTCGCGGCTTGCTTGTTACGAGGTCAAACCACTTCTCGCGCGAGTCATGATCGCGAGCCACGGCACAGGACGCGCTGCTGGAGCCTTTGTTACGGGGAGGCCTCCCGTCTTCTGGCGTACTCGGATGTAGCCGCGCTCTCGGGTGCAAGTGGCGTTGGACCTTGGGCTACGTATCTCTTCGGCAATCCTTACAGTAACTCGTTTGTGCGTTGCCAAGACCCGATCCCTGAGCAAGATGAGTCGCGGAATGATTGCGCCTTCTTGCTCGCGACCGCCGCGCGCACCTCGCCCGTCCACGACAGCAGCATCGTGGAAGGTAAAGCGTCCCGCGTCGAGGTCTATGCTCGTGAAACGAGGCGCGATCTGCGCAAGCGCACATCAAAGTCCCAGTGGTCGAAGTTGCAGACAGGAAGGAGCTCCAGAGTCTAGTACTGTGAGCGCTCAGGGTTACACGCGATGAAGATCCTGCGAGGCGAGATGACCAATGCATAGGCCCGTCAACGTCAAGCAAGAGCGCATACCCAGGAGCAACACCAATCACAGTGGACGAAGTACTCCCGGCAGTGCCGGCGTGCGGACGGACAGGGCGCATGAATCAGGCCTCGGCCCGATAAGCTCCTTCCGAAGTTTGATAACGATCGTACTGCATCTCGCAGACAGGCAAGTCATCACGCGAAGTTATGATATGTGCGACTATGGCGCAAGAGTGCAGTGATAGATGGAAGTAGGTATGATACAATAGCGATACAGATGGAGCGTCCGAAACCACAAAACCGAATCCCAGAAAAGAGAAGCAGAACTCATGCACCGAAACCGTATAATGTACGGCCGGAACGCTTGAGTGCGTACACGACGTCCAGTGCGGTGACAGTCTTGCGCTTCGCGTGCTCGGTGTATGTTACGGAGTCGCGGATGACCTGGTGGCAGAGTCAGCAAGAAGCTCGTAGACCACGAAGACAGACAACTCACGTTCTCAAGGAAGATCTTGAGGACACCACGGGTCTCCTCGTAGATGAGGCCCGAAATACGCTTCACACCGCCACGGCGAGCAAGACGGCGGATGGCGGGCTTGGTGATACCCTGGATGTTGTCGCGGAGAATCTTGCGGTGACGCTTCGCGCCGCCCTTGCCGAGACCCTGAAAGGTACAAGTCAGCTCGAGTGCTCGAAGGCGAGATGCGAAGTCGAACGAACCTTGCCACCCTTTCCACGGCCAGACATGTTGATATGAGAGAGAAGAGTTGGTGAAGGAGAAGAGTGCGGGTAGAGTGATGGTGCGCGGTGGCAGTGGCGGTGGTGGAAGGAAAGAGAGGAAGTCGGGCGCTTAGTTTTGAGTGCCGCGGCGGAAGCGATCACCTGACCCCGTTTACCGTTCTCACGAACCGAAGCATATAATCGGCGCGACTTCGAGTCTGGCCAAGTCCATCATCCCACCCACCCGCCTACCTATCAACGCGCCACCCACCCTCCAACTCTATCACTCGCAATGGCCCGTACCAAGCAGACCGCCCGCAAGTCCACCGGTGGTAAGTCGCCTTCGGAATTTCTCGACTTCAAACAATTTACTCACTCTTCCCTCAGGCAAGGCGCCCCGCAAGCAGCTCGCCGCGAAGTCCCAGGCGCGCAAGACAAACGCCGCAGCGGCGACCGGTGGTGTGAAGAAGCCCCATCGCTTCCGCCCTGGTACCGTCGCTCTCCGCGAGATTCGTCGCTACCAGAAGTCGACGGAGCTCCTCATCCGCAAGTTGCCCTTCCAGCGTCTTGTCCGTGAAATCGCACAGGACTTCAAGGTTAGCCGTTTTACATACATTATCACTCTACTACAAGTACTGACTATCTTCTACAGACGGATCTCCGCTTCCAGTCCTCTGCTGTCATGGCCCTCCAGGAGGCGGCCGAGGCATACCTCGTCTCGCTCTTTGAAGACACCAACCTTGCCGCCATCCACGCAAAGCGCGTCACCATCCAGCCGAAGGATCTTGCCTTGGCCCGTCGCCTCCGTGGCGAGCGTACATGAGCTTGCGTCCTTCGTCTCGTTCTCCTGTATTCCCACTTCTATTTCCTGGTTTGGACTGTATTACTATTGTACTTTGTCATACGTTATCCGTCTCCTTGCATATATCGATAATGCGGCACCTCGGTGATCCACCAAACTACTGCGTGAACCAACGCACACTTGTGAATATTGTCCAGTCCGTCACCGATCAACGTGACGTTGATGTGACCTCGCGCGTTCTGCGCTCGATGGTTCGGCATGGTTTGCTTTCGACCACAACGGCGCGTCGGTCGTCCTTGTCATTGTCCTATCACATGCTTTCCCGCCGTTACAATCGAGGGTTATCTTGTCTTTTCTGACGCAGAGGGGTTCGTATGCGTGTACAATGTCGCGAGAAGCAGGATAATGTCACGATATCGTTACCCGAGACGCGTCTGTTCCTGCCAGTTGGGCCACTTGAATGGCGCGGACAAGAATCGGTTTTACCTACAAGACCGACCACAAACGGAACTCCGGGAATCGTGTTGTGAAATAAGTAAGATAACATGTCGACTATTGATACCCCAGTCCCTATGTGATGCGTGCGTATACAATCCTGAATGTGATGCTAGAGAATGCTAATGATATATCGGGTATACTTTCCAGATTCCTGTCCGTTTGTCTCCTCCAATCAATCAGTCCTCCTCAATGCGCGAGCGCTTCCCCATGACTCGCGTATCCGCGAACTGTACCGCCCGCTCGCGCTTCAGCATCGGCGAAATGTCACCAGAGACACGCCGCGCTTCCTTCTGCTCCTCGCTATACGCAACGCTCGATACGACGCGCTTGCGACGGCGAATGCTTTCCTGCGGACCGAGCTGGCGCCTTGAGACCTCGGCCTCGTAGACCCATCCACTTGTCTGAACATTCATCTTGCCCAGCTCAGGCTCCGCGGCGGAGCGGCGACGGTTCACAATGCGGCGCTTCAACGCAGGCTCCGTGGTTCTCGCAGCACCGTTCGCGTTGTCTGGCGCGGCACCCATCTGGCCAGTGGGACGCCCGAGCCCAATGCCAATGGTCCCATACTTCCCGCCTCGTGATTGCGAGATGGCGCGGCGACGCGGAGTATTGTGGGTCGGAAAGGCAGATGTCGCGGGCGGTGGTGTGGGTGGCGTGTCGGTCAGCGGGCGAAAGCGTGCTTGGCTGTCTGCGAGCAGCGCGCCGACTTTGCTCGCCCAGTCTTCGGCGTTGTAGAGCTTGTGGAGGAGCATCTTGAATGTGAACTGGAAGTTCTTGCCGCCGAAAGACCCATCCTTCTTGGATGTGGTTCGCGGTGGCGATGCGGCGATCGTCTTGCTACGCGGGCGTGCAGGCGCAGTTGGGCGAGAAGGGAGCGCGAAAGTGTCGTCCGTAGCCGATGGATTCCGCTCCAGAATGGTGGCCAGGTTCTGGACGAGTGGCGCGAGGTCCCGGGGCATAACGACTGGGTCAGATTCGTCGTCGCTGGCCTCCTCGGTCTCCTCGGGACTCGGATGCTGCTGCGCGCGGCGGGCCAGTACGCGCGGTCGCGGCTCTTGCAACTTCTGAAAGAAGTACATGAGACGACGAAACTCGGCGGTATCCGCGCGATTCGTGGAGGCGATAGAGGACGGCATGATGCTGAGCGAGAGGCGAAAGCGGCGGAATGCGCGATCTGATATTGGCGCGCGTTTGTGGTTGTAGTGCGCGGGCCTGGAGAAAGGGGCGAACCGCTCCTTTGTGTGGCCGGCCGCTGTGCTGAAGGGCGAGCAAGCGATCAGAGCCGTGGTCGAAGGCATTCCTGAGCGACGATGGCTATATACCTTGTGCCATTGTCATTGTCTTCTTGTTCGGGGTCAATTGATGCGATGTGGTTCTGTGGCATGCGCAAGTCGCCCATTGACGATGTTCATTGTCTCGTTTCTTCATCATGGAGATTGGAACCACGGCCGACATTCTGTGGCTTATCGCATAATCGATCGCGCGCGCGGTGTGGCCCAGGTCAAAGGTATGTAGTGCTCGCAGCCACATCCGCACGTGCTCATGCTTGTCGCGTACCCCGGTCCTGCTGCCACAACTCATGTGTGCAACAGTACACCGAGGTCCGTGCCATGGAAGACCTGGACTTACTCATTCGCCGAGGTAATTGCCGTCTTTGCACGGTCTACGATCATTACCATCAGAGCTTCTCTTTGGCTTAGGGACCATTCGCCGGTGTAGTGGATGACTATCGGCGACCATCGAGTCACGTTGCAGATAACCGGTTGAGACCGCCTATTCAAGTGGGTTCCAGTTGGATTTCTCAAGGTGAAGTTCTTTCGAACGATGAGAGGAGGTGGGGTATGATCTGATCAATCATCGGGGGAAGTGGATAGGTTGTTGAACGCCAGCTACTATCAAGGGGCGTATAAGAGCACCTGTTCGTTCAGCTCGGTATTGCAACAGCAACTTCTTCCCTGCGCCCCATCATACAACCCTATTCTACTATGGTCAACGTTCTTATGGTCTTCACGTCCTGCGACACGACCCTTACGGGCAAGCCTGCGGTAAGTTCTTCAGCGTTGCAAAACTGCTATGCGATGCCCGAGGCTGATCATGCAACTGCAGGGTTGGTATCTTCCTGAGGCAGCGCACCCTTACTACTCCTTCGTCGATGCGGGCTTCAATGTCGACTTCGCCGCGCCGAAGGGTCCCAACCCGCCCGTCAACGACTACTCAGTCGAGGCGTACACGGACGAGGAATGCAAGCGCTTCCTGAAAGACGACGTGTCTGTCAAGAAGCTTGCGACCGCCACTGCCCTTAAGGACGTCGACCACTCAAAGTACGACGCCATCTTCTACGTCGGAGGTGTCGGTCCCGTCTTCGACCTCCCGGATGATCCCGTGAACATTGCTCTTGCCAACGAGTTCTGGCGTTCGGGTAGGATCGTTTCTGCGGTCTGCCATGGTCCGGCGTAAGCATGGCCGTGTCTTAAGTAGTTCATCTAGCTGATCATCCCATAGGGCTCTCGTCAATGTGACGGACGCGGATGGCAAGAACATCTACGCCGAACGTGTCGCCACTGCCTTCTCCGACGTTGAGGAAGCAGCGCTCAACTTCACGGCTGTAAGTGCAACAGTCTTGACAGGTTTACATCTACTGACGAGCAAACGCAGGACGTGCCTTTTGCTGTCGAGACACGCATCAGGGAACGCGGTGGAAAGTACGAAAAGGCGCCGGAGAACTTCGGTGTCAAGGTGTGCATTGATGGGAAGCTCTATACTGGACAGAACCCGGCATCGGCAAAGGCGCTCGGAGATGCGATAGCTAAGGCACTCAAAGCGTGATACACATAACCCTAGCTTCTCTTTGCCCTCTGTATCATATCCTTAGGCCTCTTTGAACCAAATGTCGCCCCCGAATACCAAGCTATAGTCCAACATCACTTGAGTGAATGCAAGGCAAAGCAGTATCGAGCCGACCTTCTGCACCTTCATGAATACTCTGACTCGGGATAGATGGTTCTGATGGCGTCGATACGCGACGGGTCTCTGTGAGGGCGAGCGACGCCTGTGACTTCTGAGCTTGACTACATGCATCGCAGATGCTTGAGGCGCGATCGTCGACATAATCGTACGTAGGACTGTAAACGCAGTGAGCTCAGCAATAGCATTCAACATGGGATACGCACCGCGCTCCTATAATGATAGCGGCAGCATCATCCTTGAAAGCAGCGCTATAATGGCACGATGGAAAATTGCAATCGCAGTCATCTATGCGCCGTTGTACCTGGAAAAGAGCTGATGAAAAGGCAACTCGAAAGCGCGCCGGCATGTATAGTAAAGCGTACCAAGTGGCCGCAGCCATAAACCGTGCACGTGCGAAATCGATAACACATATACCTTGTGGTAGCTGGATGGGGTGGTGCGAAAAACTATCAGAAGTCAGTGCTGTGTGAGGCGACTCAGAAGAAGAAAGAAGACACAGGGTTCGCTCATGATTGAAAGCTTTAGAGAGATTGATATTCACCACGACAAGCCAGTCATATTGACAACTGGACAGCCTTACGCGGACCAGAAAAGAGGACCAGGCACCCGGATACGGCTGCATAACGCTGTGAGTTGTGTTCCACCTGTGCCGGAGCAAGGGAGGCCCAATCTCGACGGTCGCTATCAGAACGCCTGGGACGTGGCGTCGACTTCGAATCCAGGATCGCGACGAAAAAAATTGAAAGAGGAAATTCGGGAGGGTATCGCACAGCCAATCATATTATCATACAGGAGAGTGGCTTCCCGCCTTGCGCATGGATAGGTCTACAGTATTTCCTACACCTGAGGCCAGAGAAGGTATGGTGGTGGTCGCGAGTCAAGTTGCCTGCGAGGATGTTGATCTAGAGAGATAATTGCGTGGCTCGGTACCGACGAAGACGCGCTGCGGCCAAGGGCCATTCTCGATGGCTTGTCCGCGTTCCTCATGGTGGACCCATAGAAAAATTCAATCTGACTCCGTTATGTCCCTGCGTTATATGTCGATCTACCGGTCGTGGGGTAATATCACCCGTTCGACTCCCCCGCCGCCATGAGCCTTTCTTGGACGAGCTTGAATAGACCCGACGGCTCCTGGACGCTACTAGAGACTCGGCAGGACACGGGAGACCGCGTCTTTACTCGAGCAGCAGGCGACGCCGAGACTGCATTCTACTGGGACGGCGAGTTCGCGGGGACGGCAGATGTTGCCGACCGTACGGTCGTACGCTTGGAGCCTGCATTGCACCTCGACGACCCAAAGGCAGACGAAGCGCGCTTCCGTGATATATGGTCAGCTGTCAAGAGACGCTATCCTTTGCTGGCGGCGCGCTTTGAGGAGATCGACGGAGGGAATGCTGTCCGGTTTGTGCTCGACGAGGCGCGACTACGTGACATTACCGACCCCCAGGAGTTTGAGTTCATACCCAACGCCGATTTGGAAGCATCGACCGCAGCCGTACAACGCGTTCTGAGCCCGCGACCACGTCGCCTATCCGCGACTCTTATAGCGGCCATATCAATTTTGCGGCGTGCGGACGATACATATGAGATTATCACAGTCGGCTCGCATGCCATCCTCGATGGAATGGCAAGCTGCACACTTGCCCGCACTATATGTGACCTGCTTTCGCGTTGGCCTGCTTCGCTGGAGGTTCCCATCCCAGACCTCGAACAGCGCCTCGAGATGGCACCCTCCCTGGAATCATTGCATACCCAACTTCACCTCTCACTACCGCGCCGACGCTGGAGAACCGCGATCGCCCGAATCATCATGAACCGACAGATGTCCATTCTCCGCGGCGGACACACTCTTCCCCGCAAGTGGACCTCCCAATCTCCCGGACAGCCGGCCGATTCTCGAGTCGCGCGCGTGCGTCTCCCGAGCGATGCTACTCCAAAAGCCCTCGCCGCCTGTCGCGCAAACGGTGTAACGTTTGGGCTTCTATTGCCCATACTTGGGCAGGTGGCTCTCTCACGTCTTCTCCATCGTCGGGTGAAAGGTGGAACACTTACCCTTGAGGAATGGGAAACTCGTAAGAGGATTCCTATGCACGGTGGCGGGCCTGTGAACTTGAGGCCATCTGTCGTCGCCGACTGGCAGCAAGCTGGTGGTCACACAGAGGTGTGCTCACTATATCACTGATCTGGAGCTCGTTCTCAATTTCGCACTAGATAGGTCTGTGCATTGGCTTCTTCCGGTGTACATTGCCGTACATACCCCGTGCTGCCCTTTCGAATGCCGAAGACGCGACATCGTTTGAGACCGACGCAACGGGTGCCCCACCTTTCGCTGCACTGCTTTCACCGAAGAGGTTCTGGTACCGCGTCAACTTGATCAAACGCGCCGCCGCCAATGTGTATCGCCATCCACTTTTCCAAGATATGCAAGCTCTCAGCAATCCTATGCGCATCACGCGCGGGCAGGCGGCCGCTCATGCGTGGCGAAGTGCTCTAGCAGGCGAGGAGGTACCGCCTTTGCCTGAAATGGACCCCGAAGCTCTCGTGTTCACGCATATTGGTTCAAGCATGGGAAATGTACGTTCTCTATCCCTGATGCACATCGTCCTGTTGCTCACAGCCCATAGATGGATTCCGTGATTCCTCTCACTTTCCCGCAAGGCAGCGACACGACCGTGCACCGACTCTCGTCCGACATGTACCTGCACTGCCGACCCGGAGAGCTCTATCTCGGCGCGAAAACGACGCATGGTGCGACGGAGTTCTATGTCTTCTATGACGGCAATGTGTACGAAGATGCGGTCATTCGTGAATGGTTGGAGGAGGTCGAGCTTGTCTTCCAACACTATCTCTGTGCATAGAGCTACGGATACATTGTACATTTGTTGGTCATGTATAGGATAGTATATTACACACGGAACGCTACCATACGCCGTCATCTCCATCTGGGTCCATTTCGCCCACGACGTGCTCTGCTCCGTCCATAGTCTTGCCTTTCAACATGAGGATACTCTCTGGCGGCTTGCCGAACCATATGAATTCGATGTCGCGCGTTTCGCCTGCGTCCTTTGCAGTTAGAGTGAGGATTGAGAAGCCCTCCCCAGGCCCTTTTTGGCGCGTGAACTTGCTGGCTGCTATACGTTGCTGTAAGGCGCTCTCGACGCGCGGGCTGGACGGCTGACAGGATAAACACATGAGCACGATGCCACGTAGTGTATGGGGAAGGCATCAGCGTACCGTCGATTCGAGCCAGCTGTCATCCTCCGAAGCAGTTTCACTGACTTGATCAGTGATGCCTGGGATCACCAGATGCGCGATTTCGAGGTTTGAAAGCAGTAGGGGCGCAAAGCCGGCACTCACGCGCATCTGCTTCTCCTCAACATGGCCGGAGGCGGGATCGACTGTGTGATGCACAAGACAGGCAGAATGGTCGCGCTCTGTGCGCTCGTCCAGTATGAAGAAGAGGTCCGCATTATATGGTACGCCTTCGGAAGAGAAGACCTTCTTGCAAAGACGCGCCAGTTGGGTCACATTGTCTGCGCTGAGATGATGAGGTCGTTCATATGGCCAAACAGGATACTACGCACTGCCTTCAACTGCCGATCGTGTCGGGCGCAAGTACCAGGTATCCCAGCTCTCCCGTGCGCCAGAGAATGCGTCCTCAAACTTCTCGAGAGTGTTATCAGAAACTGCGTCTTTGACGAATGTCGCGACGGCGCGCTTGGGGTGGTGGGCTTTTGCTCGAGACATGTGAGTAACTCAGTTGGTCGTCGTAGTCAAGTCGCAGGCGGTGATGCCATCTCGTAAGTGTGTACGAGCCCATGACGCTCATGAGCAGTAACTGAAGTAGGCGGCATCTGAGCAACTAAGAGCCCCTAATCGGCGTGCGATATCGCTCACGTGGAGGAAATGTCCCGCTGCGGGCCGCCGGACGTGTTGCCCTCCTCTGTTCTTCCGACGAGCATGAGCTCCGGATGCAACGCATAATTCTATCTACAAAACGAACGCCGCTATGTCGCTCTCATAATCTCTGCTCGCTTTCTCGATGCGGTAAAGTCTGATCTTGAGAGTCGAGTCAGGAAGGCGCCTGTTCGGCATGATCGGAATCCGTGTCCGCGAACCGCGATAACCTGACGGCCAGTATCTTGTACACCGTACTTCGCAATCTCTAGTCGGACCACCATGTCGACGAAGACCAAAGTCGTTGTCCTCGGGTCTGGTGTCGCAGGGCTGACTGCCGCGCATGTCTTGACCGACGGCGCGAACGCTGATCAGTTCGATGTGTGTATCGTTGCTCGGGATCTGCCCGAGGACTTCCACAGTCAAGCCTACGCAAGTCCATGGGCGGTGAGTCCAAGTCTCTGCCCTTATCCTGACATTTCTCTGAGCAGTGCACTACTAGGGTGCGAACTGGTCGCCGATGAACATGGACGAACGTCTGACTGGTTGGGAGAAGCGAACCGTGTGAGCACGTACTCTCTGAGTCAACAAGCCAAATGCTCATAGTCGTGTAGAGAGAAGTGGAGAGAGATGGAAGCTGAAGGCTCTGGTCTGGTGATGGTGCGTATACCGTCACATCATACAGTTATCGTCTATTGACCAGTTTCTTGCCGCAGTACGAGAAGTCGAAGATCTACCACAAGGGCCCTCCTCCGGAGAAGCTCCAGAGCAACTACAAGGCCATTGTCGGCTCTGACGTGCGTGCGCAACTCCTTTCTCGATCTCGCAGATACACTAACTTGGCGCCCAGTACGCCATCTCCCCGTCGGACCTCCCCGACGACTTCGGCGTCGACACCGTGTCCACATTCACCACGAACTCCATCAATCCGCGGCTCTACCTCCCCGCCCTGAAAGCCGAACTCGAGAAGCGCGGTGTCATCTTTACCAGACAGCGCGTTATCAGCCTCGACGAGGTTTGTGAGATGGCGGGTGAAGGCGGTGTAGTTGTGAACGCCACAGCCCTTGGTGAGCATCTGCGTCAACATCAATTGACACCCGTCGAAACTCAGCTCATACCTGTTAGGCGCTCGCTCACTGCTCGGTGTGGAAGACAAGAAGATGTATCCGGTTCGAGGCCAAACGATTCTCGTCGAAGCTCCGAACATCCGCGAGTTCATGGCCTGCGATGAACGTATGTACCCGATCATCTCTCAATGCCTCAATCCGTTAACCCCGCACAAGCGTACGGTCCCAACAATGACTATCTCTTCTACTTCATTCCTCGGCCTGGATCGACCGAGGCTCTCATCGGCGGCACCTACCAACCTGGCAACTGGGACGTATCCGTGAACTGGGACACCGCGAACGCGATGTGGGAGAAGGCGAAGCGCTTAATGGACCCGACGTGCACATTAAGCAACACAACGTCGGTCTGCGTCCCGCTCGTGAAGGCGGGCCTCGGGTTGAGACGGAGTTGTATTCTTGGCCTCACACTGGTGATATCCGTGTGGGCGCGAGAGATGTGACAGCGGAGAAGAAGACGACGCTTGTACTTCACTCGTACGGCTTCGGGTATGTTGGATGCATAGACTTCTCTGTCTACCTATACTGACATGGGCTCAGTGGCGCGGGGTACCAGCAGTCTTGGGGGGCAGCGGAAGAGGGCGTAGAGTTGTTGAAGAAGGCCTTGAAGGCTTGACAGCTGCTTGCAAAACGATAGGCCACCGGGGGGTCCTACACATAGACGGCT